CATGTGATTGAATTTTAGCTGCTTGAAATAATTTGAGTTATAACTCTGAAGTGATTTATTATTATTAATATTTTGTCAATCTTGTAAAATCTTGGTTCATTAGGGGACCTTCATTGTGGATGAGAATATTAATGTGTAATGTAGACAGGGCTTTGTTTAATATGTTTCAATAATAATAATTGAATGAACATTTATCACTATTATTATTGTTATCAGAAGGTAACTGATAACAATAATAATATTAGGGGAAAATGTTTTATCAGAAAGGTTTGCTTTGTTCATCTGATTCGTCTGTGTCTACGTCTAATTGTCTATGTCTATGTCTTTGTTTGACAATCAATCAGTTGCCACAATTCAATCAGTCAATTTAAATGACACAATCATTTTATTGTTTCATCATTCGATCAGTTTATCCACCATTCATTTAACATAATATTACATCAACCAATCATGAAATTAATTAATTAATCACTTAATTTCTTACTCAATTAATTATATAATTAATTAATCATGGAATTATCAAATGAATGATAGATGGTGATTGGAAGTTGTTGCTGATCAAGAAGTACCAGATGCTGGGCAAGATACCATCGCTAAACATCACATGCAACAAGATAACACAGATTCTCAGTCTCACACTCACACCTGATGCCGCCAACCAATTGAGGGATTCCGAAATTGATGTATGTTTGTCTCTCCATCCCTCTCTCTCTCTTTCTCTCTCTGTCTCTCTCTCTCTCTCTCTTTCTCTTTGTATATGTTTATTTATATTTATTTCTATGTATATTTGTATGTTCATGGGTATGTTTATGTTTGTGTATGTCTTTTGTGTGTGTGTGTTTACGTGTGTGTTTGTTTATGTTCGTATTTATGTATACTGCAGTTGTGACATTTTGAGGGACTTTGAGAGTCACCATTCAGTTTGGTTGTATCATATTCGTAGGTTACATATAAAAAGTGTCTGTTGACTTAAATTGGTAGTGTACATCAAATTCAATATACATCATCAATTGCTAATACTTGAAAAATGTACATACAGGAAATATACGCCACATTCAAACACTGCTACATCTAAACATTGAAAATAACAAACATAAAGGTATGCCCGAAACATGGGAGAGTAAAGACTGACGTTGCCAGCAAGCTGGTGAACAACTTGGAGAACATGAGAAAGCCTCTGCAGAAGACATGGAACCAGTTTGTTAGCGCCGCTGAGACTATCAAGCCTAAGAAAGTTAGTTGGGTTGCTGTGTTGTTTGTTTGTTTGTTTGCTTGCTTGCCTGTTTGTTTGTTTTGTTGTTTGTGTCGCTCAGTATTGTTTGAAAATGCTTTTTTGTTTGTTATTATATCTTGGTTGTTATTAATTATATCAGTTATATCGGTAAATATGCGGGTTATTACCTAGTATAAATTTTTTGATTGAATTGATTGATTTGATTGCAAAAATAAATCAATCAACCGTTTTCGAATACGACTAGCTAAACTTCAAGATTCCTCCAATAACGAACCTTGTTTCTGGATCTCAACCAACTGGCAACTCTAACTTTTCTATGCAGGTGGTCCATTAGTTCGTTGACCAATCAGCTGATCATTTGATCAACCAATCATTTGATCATCTAATCATACTATCATTTGTTGGCTTAATCAATCAATCAATCAATCAATCCTTCAACCAATCGTTCAAACTTTGTGACTTTGTTTTCTAGGCAAATAATAAAAGCATTTAGACATCCAAACAAATATTTCATTGAATTTCCTAAACAGCAGCAGCAGAGAGATGTGAAGGAAAAAGAGCGGTATGATAGAAAAATATTGGAGGTAGTGAATTTAATACCATTAAAAATATTTCGTTTTTTGTTTTCATTCATTCATTCATTCATCCATTCGTTCATTCACTTTTTGCTTTCATCTATTCATTTATTCATTTTCAACATTCGTTTATTTCCAAAATTCGTTCAATCATTCATTAATTCATTCACCTATTTCGATGTTTGCTCATTCATTCGTTCATGCATTCATTCATTCGTTCGTCCATTTATTAATTTATTCATTCCTACCTTCCTTCTTACCTAACTATAATTGTGTGTGTGTGTATGTGTGTACATGTGCGTGCATGTGTGTGTGTCTGTGTGCGTGATAGCTAAACTTAATTACTAAAACAAACTCTCCTGAATTAATTGGACTTTTAAGGTTTAGTATGAAGAAGGACAACTAACATGTAACAATCATCATCATCATCGCTTAACATGGCCTCCTCGCCTTTATAATCCTTAATTATTTCTACTGTTGTAAATAGTTTTATTATTTAATAATTTTATTATATAATAAATTATTTTTTGATTTGATACGCACGCACACACACACACGCACACAGGAGCTACAGAGGATGTTCAGTGATTCCGATTCCTTCTATTATAGTCCCAATCCCGGCGCCCATCTAACTAATTCCATACAAAAAACTCAGTTATTGAAAGAATCATTATCATCACCACAATCGTCATCATCATCTAGTGTAGCGACGACAACAACCACCGCTTCTATCACTACTACTACTACTACATTGAATAAGGAAGCAAGCAGCAGTGCAGAGAACAGAACTGCAAACTCGTCACCCCTCAACAGTACAGGCTCTGCTTCATCGTCATTGTCGGCTCCTCTAAAACCATCATCACTATCATCATCGACTCATTCATCCTCAAATTCATTGCAATCATCACCATCATCGTCGTCATCATCTTCATGGAAGTACGCTGATGATAATTTTTTCTGGAACAAGAACATGCTAGGAGAGCTGATTAACTTAGCCAAGGTAAGTTGTTGCGATTGTTGCAGTTTAAACTTCTGAATAATATAATTCTTTATTGAGTCGTTTTTATTTATTCAGTTTTTTCTATATAATTTTATGGTGAGACAATGTGATGGTTAAAGTTGGTTAGTCCGAGCTAGGTTTGATTTCAATTCAATCAATGTGTGGTTATGTTTGTTCACACGTGTTCACAGGCGTGCTGTGTGCGTGCGTGTGCGTGCGTATGTGTGTGCGTATTGTGTGTGTGTGTGTACGCGCGCGTGTGTTTGTGTGTCGTTATTGATACTTCAGAAAAATGTAATAATATTATTATAATTTTTTTTTCTTTTATTGCGCTTGAAAATTAACTTCAACTAATATAAATTTATGCTCATTGAAACTGCTGGTTCATTCAATTTGTTTTACAAAATATAAAACTCCTTTCTCTTCTTCTGATAGGTCAACCCGCTAGCCAATGAATGGATAGTTCCCATAATTCAGGGTTACGTTCAGATAGAAGACTGTCCAATCAGGTTTGACGATGAGGATGATGATATCCGTCTGCAGTCGTCATCATTATCGCCACCGACTCTTTCGCTCAAACTCTGCATCATATCCAGGAGATCCAGGCATAGAGCAGGTCGGTGTTGGTGGCTGGAGGTGGTGGTGGTGGTGATGTCGATGATGATTATAGTTGTAATGATGATGTCGGTGATGATGATTCTGGAGAAGATGTAATACTTATTGAATAGTGAACATTTCAGACAACCAGTCAATCGCTCAAATGCTCCTTATTAATTATTATTGTCGCAGTGGATGGATGGCTCTGCTATAAAACTTACTATCTCATTCTCACTTAATAATTTTAAAATCTATCAGACGGTACAGAGTTTTCGTGCGTGGTTATTGTGATGATGATGATGATGACGATGGTGACGATGACGATGGTGACGATAACGATGGTGATGATGACGATGGTGACGATGATGATGGTGACGATGATGATGGTGTCGTTTCGTTAACAGGAACCAGATATAAACGAAGAGGCGTTGATGACGACGGCTACACTGCTAATTATGTTGAAACTGAACAAGTAAAACGATGATGATGATTGTGATGATGATGATGATGATGCCAATGATGAATGATGATGATGATGATGATGATGATGATGCCAATGATGAATGATGATGATGATGATGATGATGATGATGATGATGATGATGAATGTGATGATGATGATGATGCCAATGATGATGAATGTGATGATGATGATGATGATGATGATACCAATGATGATGATTGTGATGACGGTTGTGACGATGATGTTGATGATGAAGATGTTTATCAGTCATTTTGTAGACTGTCACGATTATGATGTTGTTGTTGTTGTTGTTGTTGACGACGGAGGTGGTTGTGGCGATGATGATGGCGATAACTCAATATGATAACGTTCATGATTGTAAGTGCAATGTAAACCCTTCATTCATTCATTCTTTCATCTGCTTACAGATCAATATCTGCATTACATACTATGAAGCCATCTTGTTATTATGATTATCATTATTATTATTGTTATTGTTATCATTATTATCATATCTGAAGAACTGCTTGCTCTTCCTAATGATATGATTACTTATTTGCGTTCATTTTTATTTTTGTTACAATTGTAATGATTCTCCATCGCATGCCTCTGGTTAGTTCTCCATCTATCTACTGATCTTTTTTCAACATCTGTCTTACACCAGACGATGTGATACAGACATTTATTGCTTTTAAATTCATTTTATATTTGCGCCTCCTTTTTGCAGTATTCAGAAAATTTCTTTTCAAAATTTCGAATTAATTCTAATGTCGAGTAAACGAAGAACTTGAACCAACATCCCTACAAGATTCTGGAGTTCGTCAGTCACGTCGTCTCGTTCGTACAAATCCGTGGATCGGTACCTCTGTACTGGAGCCAGTCAGGCAACAAGTACAGACCACCTCCAAGGATTGAAAGAGGTTTCCAGTAGCACCTTTTTTGTTTCTTGATTCCTTCAATAACTAACTAATCTACCGGATAACAGTTTATCATGTTACTAATTAATAGTCTTTAAGAATAGCCATGTTATAGAGTATAACTTTGGTTAAATATTTTAACGGATGAATAATTTCATTTGTGTAGTGCATTAAAATAGAATGAAGATGATATCTCTATAGGCTGTTATGAATGTTAAACTCTTGTAATTCTTTTATTTATTATGACTGAATGGTATATTATTAATCATTTTTAACTGAATTTCAAAAATTAAGAAATATTTAAAAACTGGAACAATATCAATGCATACGATGAATAACACGTTGGGCAGAATTTTTGCTAGAATGAGGTTATACTAAAACTAGTAGTTAATTTTCAAATGGTTCGTCGGACTTGATTATTCTCATTTGATGGAACGGTCCACTAGAACATTCTCTACCACGTTCATATTCTCCATTATATTTTCTTTACTTATTTTATTATTTCAGCCATTAATAAAAGTACTAAAATATTTTTCATTCATTCATCCATTCATTCATCCATTCATTCATTCATTCATTCATTCATTCATTCATTCATTCATTCATTCATTCATTCATCCATTCATTCATTCATTCATTCATTCATTCATCAATACACTCAATTCATCCTGGAAGAGTTTCAACAGCGTTCGTATTCCCTAGCATCAATGATGCACCCTAAAAACAACCGACAGATTTCGACCAGAATTTCAAAGCTTTCTCGAAGCACATGCAGTCCGTCGTTAAGACGTATGACAGGGTTACCATCATCAACCTTATCGAGCAGGTTCCTTCGCACATCAGTTTAATACAAATAATAATAATAATGCAGTCATTATTTATTATTATTTTATTATTTTTATTATTATTTTTTTTCGTACCAGACAGGGAAGGAGAAAGTATTGGGTGACGTGTTCCTACAGCATGTCGTCACGTGCAACGACCCGCGAATCACCTACGTTACCTTCGATTTCCACGAGTACTGGTTCGTCGTCGTTATTATTGTTTCTATTTTTCTTTATTTGTATCATAATCATTTGTATCATAATCATTTGTATCATAATCATTTGTATCATAATCATTTGTATCATAATCATTTGTATCATAATCATTTGTATCATAATCATTTGTATCATAATCATTTGTATCATAATCATTTGTATCTGCTGTCGCGATACAGTAGAGGAATGAAGTTCGAGAACGTGAGCATCCTGACGGAGAACATCATGCCAATTGTGAAGGATATGAAGTACTGCTGGTAGGTGCTGAATTTTATTGGTGGAAATATATTTGACGATGGTGTTGATGATGAAATTCATATTTTGATTTGATCTACAGTGTTTATATTATTTCATTTTCCTTATACTAGAATCATATTTTATTAAGTTTGTATCATTTTTCCAAGTTTTCATTTGACCTTTAAGCTTCGGTTTCGGTTTTAGGGATGTGACAATAGAGCTAACCTAAATAAATTATTACAGGGTGGATACGAATGGGATGATTTGCAAACAGCAAGGAGTTTTCAGGGTTAACTGTGTGGATTGTTTAGACCGCACCAACATCGTTCAGTCTGCTCTGGCTAGGATTGTTCTCGAGATGCAGGTGATGGTGATGGGAAGTGAGAGGGTAGTGATGATGTGTGAGAGAATGATGATGACGAGTGAGAGGTTGATGGTGGAAAGTGGTGATATCAATGATGATAATAAGACCGTAGTTAATAATGGTGCTTATAGAAATTGAAAATTATTTTTCTTTTGTATTAACAATTTATAATTTTTACGCTACATTTCAGTGTCGAAAACTGGGCCTACTCTCCCCCGAGAGACAGCTCGGGGGCAACTACAAGACCCTCTACCAGCAGATGTGGGCCAACAACGGTGACGTCATCAGCAGGCAGTACGCGGGGACAGCCGCCCTCAAGGTTTATCCATTATTTTTTAGCAACCAAATATCCACAAACACACGCACGCACACACATATGTATTTGTTTATTTAATTATTTACTTACAAACACACATTGAAGGGTGACTACACGAGAACAGGTGAGAGGAAGTTCACTGGAATGATGAGAGATGGCGTTAATTCAGCCAACAGGTGATTGATTCGTCATATTTCGTTGATTTTTTTTTTCCTATACAATTTCATTATTTGTTTTACGCTACAAATTTTTGCTATCGTAATTGATAGTGGTTTTTTGGATGTTGTAACTAATCATTTGGTTATAATTTCCAAGAAATGTTTTTTCAGCTGTTAAAATTTTAGTTGACTTTATATTTTCCATGAATTGTTTTCACACTGAAGAATCGTAAACCTGAATGAGTTTAGTTGCTGATCCTCTCTTGGCACCGTAGGTACTACATCAATCGCGTTCGAGACATTTACAAGCAGGCGACAGTTGATCTGATGCAAGGCAAGCAGGTTGCATGGGACTCTCTGGACGCAGGTGACGGGCGTGCTGAGAATGGCGAGTTGTTGGCGGAGGAAGGTCCCGCCCAGAGGGATGAAGACATCCAGCTGATCGTCAACGATTGCGTCAAGCTGCTCATCGTCGAACCAGAAGTTTGCACTGGTTCGTTTTTCGTGTTGCAAATTTACGCTGTTATTAATTATTTAATCTGGGAGGTGTTTTGTGATGTTCATTATAGGAGTTTTTTTTCTGTCATCGCAAGACAGTTTTTGTAAATAGTTATGTTTAAATAAGAAATATAATCTTTACTCACCCAACCAATCAATTGCCCCATCAGGTAGTTGGGGCTTGGTGAACTGTGATAGGCTGGCCGACAGCTTGGTGGGAGGAACAAGTGAACTGACCAATCTGCTCGAAATGGACGTCATATTAGTTCTGTCCAAAACTGCTCTTTATGTTGCCAAGTTAGTGAGAAATTTTTTTAATGTTGTTTTATTTGTTTTTATTATCTACTGTACAATTTAGCATTGTTATATTTTATATTAATGCCTCACTTTTTACTGCTTTACTGGTAGTAGATAAATGATGGCTGTTTTATAATCGAGGCTGTTAATAAGTACATGAAAGTTTCCCTTCATTTGTAACAATGCAGTTTTTTTTTTATTCTTAGTTACGACGATGACGTCGACATAGTGACAAGTTACCAGAAGATAGCTCTCTCCGATCTCATGAGGGTGGAGCTAGGTTGCACTGAATATTATTCTTAGTTTATTTCGCCACTTTACTGCAAATATATTGTAATTATTTAAATTTATTCAGGACTGATAACTTTTGCTCCTAAACTCCATCAAATCTGCATGCGGCTGTATTATCGCTCAGCCGCCAGGAGCAGAAACAAAGTTGCAATTGAGGAACCATTTTTTGAAGTTGTTGACGTTGACGGCGTTGAAGAGAATGACGTCGGTGGCTCCTGCTGCTTCCACTCGTTTTGTGTCGCTGGCACCAGACTCACAAGTTCTAATTCCCTTGTCAATCATTCGAAAACTGCCGATGAAGCTAAAGGTTTTGATTTTTTATTTTCAAGAATTCATCGCTTTTCTCGTCGGTGGTTGATTTGTTTTTATAACTTTAAAAAGTGTTTTTTGAATTTTCACTTAAAATTAATATCATGACTTGTTGATGACGTTGCTAACACGACTGCTGATGCCACCATATAGAAACACTTAGGCAAATTTATGCTTCCCTGAACAAGAACTGCAGACAGATTGGGCACTATTTAGCCATCGATGAAACGAAGATTGATAGGTCTGCTTGAATATTTTTTTATTCTTTCTTCATCTCAATTTATTAAATTTTGTTTTCATATGAATTTTTATTATTCGTCAATAATCGGTGTATTTTTATACTTTTATTGCACACACTCAACCGCACAGCCTCATTTTTTAATTACAAATCCGAAACTTCACGACACCACACCCATTCATCTATTCACGTGAATAGGAATGTTAGGAGCGGGATGCACGACAGCATCGTCATCATCTCGAACCAGGCCCAGGACCAAGTTAACGCCAACCTCCCTCCCCCACCAACCATGTCCGAACTACCGACACCAATCAACCTACCGTTTAATAAGGTCCCTTCCATTGACGATGAATCTGGTAACGCAGCTCAGGAGACTGGTGTGCTTGCTAGCGCCGGCGACCTCAATTTAATGGACTTCACTGATTCACACTTCGGATTGGACGTGCACAGGAATGTAAGCAACAACAGCACCAACTTATCTCTGTTGTCATCTCTTACTACCTCTGACAGTTCAGTTGCTTCATCAACTGCGTTACCCGTGGTTTCCAGGGTTGGTAGCAGTGGTACAGCTGTCACTTCCGCCTTTGATACTCCAAGACACTTGAATAGAACATCTCTATATTTAACCTGCAAAACTCATCCGACTGTTTCCGACCCATCCACTTTCACGCCCATCTCCACATCCTTGCAACAACACGTTCTTCAGACGAGACAGCTTCACACGAAACTCAGGAACCTAGTGACCTCCAACATCCAACTCAGCGATCACGTCTGTCTGGCGGGCTGCGGCATAATAGCGACTCGCTCAAAAAATCAACTGAAAATGGGTCTGATCAGAGAAACTGAGTCGTTCTACTCCGTTAGTCTCACTGACAATCCACTGGTCGTCAATTGCTTGCTTGGAAAAATGACAACTCAGACAAGTAAACAGCAAAATGATAAATTGTTGGAACTGGTTCTTGCGGAAAATGAATACGTTAGAAAAGGTTTAACGGGTGATTTGTTCACAACTTGTGTGCAGGCTGATTCGCTGAACTTGTCACACGGTAATAATGATAGCGGCAGTGGTCTAACCAACCTGCTCGCTAAGAGGTTTTTCAAATTTATTCAATATTTTAATTCTTATTAACGATGCAGTTTCTGATGTAATATATTTTTTATGCTAAAACGTAATTTAAACGCAATCTCAATTTCCAAATTTGTTTTACGACATGACTGTCACTCTGCAGACCAATCATGCTGTCAGAACAGTTGAAGTCTCACTCGCTGGACGCCACCTCAATGGTGAACCTCCTGAAGGGCAATCCGAGGTCTCATCGACGAGCCATCTACATTGGTCGCAGTGACAACATTCCGTTCGGAGGGATCATCAGTGGGCTAGCGGATGGAAAGGTGAAGATGAGCGCTCTCTTTGAGAAGGACTACCTGGATGATGAAGATGATGCTCTTATGAAATTCACCGAATTAAACAACGATAACAACAAAACTTCTACTAATAATTATTGTGACGAAAGTGGGAGTAGGGATTTTAGAAAAAATGGAAACCAGGAATCTGAAAATAAAAACGTTTTGATAAATTTCGACGACATTTCTGATACCACGCCACACGCCACACGACAATTTCCAATGAAGCAGCAAATCTTGCCACAACAACTCTCAACTCAGCAGCAACAGTTCTCCATCAAAAACTCGCACAGCGAGAGTACCCTTATTCCAAAATCATCTAGTTACGATCTTCTTAACAGCTTGAATGAAATGGAATTTTTTGAAGAACAAACTTCATCCTCTGCGCTGTCGAAAATTAAAAGAAAAATGGCGCAGCTTGCTGTAACGTCATCAACAGCTGCTGCAGCTATTACAGCAGCTACAGTAGGTGGACATGCTTCGAACAGGGGTGCAGCCTTGTTTTCAGGAGTTGATTCAAAAGGATTGAGTAGGCAGGCGACAAATAATTCATTGAGATCGCAACTGAGGTTTCAAAATTTAAAATGCAGAATTATATTATTGTGATGTCCTCCTTATTAAATTGCATGGTCTTTCTTCGCTATTGTAATTAGCCGATTACTGATTTCATTGGTTTGTTTATATTTTTTTGTTGCTGCTCCATTTGCAAATGAATTTTTAAGGAAAACTGTCTCTTGAATTAGTTGATGTTATGTAGATGGCATGTTTACGTTTGGCATGAAGTGGTGTAGCATCGGTTGTAACATCGAAGAAATCAATCACATGTTTCGATTGTATATACTTGTATAATGTAAGCGGATTAAAACATGACAAATATAGACGCGAGGCTTTCATTGTAACATTTTGCTTTAATTTCCTATTTTCATTCCTACCGGGATAGCAAATCTAATCCAGTTTTAGTCAATTGAGAAATAGTTTGTTTGGGTTGCGTTTCATTATTACGTACCTATTGAAATGCTTGCCCTACTTTACGTAACCAAATTTATTTTCAATAATTTATTTATTTATATTATTGCCGTTGTCAGATATACTATTTTTATGTTTTTTCCTTCTAGTTGAATGACTTTTAGTTATTCAGTCATACCTCGCTAGACCAGACAAATGCTCACTAATGTAGTTTCACAATGAAAAATAAATTTTTTATCGTTATTCTTTTAGTTATTGTGATTGCATTTGATTGTCTGGTCTTTGTTACTGTTCCCTACGATTGCAGTAAAGAACTTGCATACAAAAAATTCATTTTGAGCATGTTACATTCCAGTACATACGCGTGTACATAGCATTTCCTATGATAAAGTGAATAATTTATTTAACTATTTAATCATTGTGTTGTGCTTTTAGGCTATTTAAAATCAATATTGTATATGATACGTTGCTGTATATTTATCATCGCTCGCTCATTCAAAAAAGAATGTGATTATTCATCCTATTTCTATAGATTATAATTTATATATTATTTATTCATTATTTTAATTTTATGTTTGCAGTTGCGTGCGATGGTTTAGGTTTAGCAGCTACAGTTTTTTTGTTTTCTGATTTTAATTTTATGCAAAAAAGAATGAATAACATCTCGGAATTGTTTTTATGGGAGACTAACAATGCAGGCTGGAGATTCTATTTTTCCATCTGTTGTTGTTGTTGTTGTTGTCGGTGTTCAAATCATTACTTTGACTATTGATTTGCGACTACTTCTATTTTTTGTTTTTTTGAAAAAGAAGAAAAAGAATAAAAGCTGTGTATTTTTATCAGCAAACCTTATTGCCGTTTTATCGAGGCGTATAAACATGAAAATCTTTCCGATATATTTAAAAAAATAAAAAAAAATTTAAATGTATTTTCAAATCTATATCAACCAAATCGAAAAGACCTTGAGAAATATTTACCATGATTCAAAGGAACTTAATTGTAGAACAGGTAAAATGATGTTTGTACAAAATGTTCGCGTTTAGGCTTGTTACAATATTTGGAAATAATATTTTACTTCACCATTTTTGTGCCCAAAAAATGTTCAATTCTATACTTAGACTAAACGTGCTCCAGCTGTTTTTAATGTATTTTAAATTTTGGGAGATATGGCATAGTTAAATTTTCCACTTTTTTCTAAGTAATTATATATTAGTTATCTCAAATTAGCCGTTTAATCTATATATTGTAATTAAGTATGTGTATTTAGTCTTTAATAAAATTTTTGTAAATTTTATATAAATTTATATTTCACTTTCATATGAATTGGACAAATCATCTCTAATCGAGGTTCATTTGATCTCCAAAACAATTTAAAAGACATATTATCGATTACGTCACAGAAAGTTAATATGCAGTGATCCAATTCCGAAAAAATTTTATCGGAAAAATAATTTTTTTTGTAGTATCATTATATGAGTTAGGAAAAAGTTTACTAACTGTAACCGAAATATATATCGCACGTTTAATTGTATAGTTTGCAGGCGACCAACTGATGCAGTGTTGGTTCCAAGTTTGTCGGACCTTCACAGTAACAAACATTATCTGAACAGAATCCAGACAGGGAAACATAACAGTACACGCATATTTCTCTGCAGTCGACGTCCATGTTTTCCAAAACGTCGCACGGTTGGTCTAAATACACATAACGATGTCCAAGACTTGATGTTACCTGGAAAGTCACGTAAACTGTGACGAAAATCTGGAGCCAATATTTATTCATTAGAACTTTTCTGTAAAATTAACGGAGAAGTTTATTATTCAGCTGATTTATTATTGTTCTATTCGCTGTTAATTTTTTCGTAGCAGTTAATATTATAATACGAAACATCTTAACACATGAAAGCGCACTTTATACTTTGACTAAAGATGTCTTGTTTAAAAAAAGTTTCTTCAAACTTATAAATAAAATTTTCAAAATTCTCATGCATGAATGTTGTTAACTGTTTAGCTTATCCTTCTATACATAGGTACGATGTGAAGCACTGGAGGTTGTTTTAGATAAATTTTAGACGAATTTCAAAGTTTAAGCAACAAAATTTAGATGAAAAAGACCAAACTTTGAATGTATACTGATGTTCGCGCATGATAAATTTAATTTTTCTATTAGTTTATATCATTTCGTTTTACTTGAAATTTCAACAAAAGAGATGAGTCATCTTTGAAATTTGATGGACAAAACCGTCTAGCTGATACATTATCAATCAATCAATCAATCAATTAGCTTATAAAGCGCTATTTCCGCGATGTTCAACAGCGCTCCTCAATGAACTTTGAAAACAGATGGGTCTTGAGATCCGCTCTGAACTTCGCAAGTGATGGAGAAGTAGTCAGAGAAGTAGGTAGAGAGTTCCAGAGAAAAGGACCAGAAAAAGCAAAAGCAGATTTGGCAAAAGAGTGTTTAACAAGAGTTAAGAAAAAGCGAGAAGACGATCGTAAACCGGGGGGTTTAGGTTCAATTAATATATCTGATAAATATTATAAGAATGTTTATTTCTCTTCAAACACTTCTACACTTAGCTCGTCAAAACGCTTAATAAATAAAACGTTTTATGCTCAGCCAACACATTTTACACCAAGATTTGAAAAAAACTCGACAAAATATTTTATTAATTCAAAATAAACTTTTGTTATTTTTAAAATAGTCTTCGAACCAATCAATGTGACTAATTTTTTCTTTGATTGTCATATGAGGGTTTTTAGAAAGACCTACCAAAATCAGCTCCATGAAATGTCGGACAGGACCTTTTTCTGGAAATTTTGACAAATGATGATCAAGAAATTTATGTTCATGAAAGGAGACATTCTTCTCTTCGCCGAGGTCTGAAAGAAGATTCACAATAAATAATTAGAATTAACCGTTTTCCACTAGTCAAGTATTGACAATAACGTGTGTCAACAGCAAGAACTCTTACACTCGAACAGCAGTGATAATAATAATAATAATAATAATAATAATAATAATAATAATAATAACTACATTACATACACTGCTCATTGTCGACTGGAAAATTCCAAGCCTTGCCCTGTTCAAGCCATTCAATGTTTTCTTCAGCAAAATTCCTTGGCATTCGTTTAACAGAAGCCAAGTTTTCTTCAGTTTCCAAAATGTTGAACAAATTCATTTGAACAGTAGACTTCATGCCTGTTAGTGTTGTGCAAGAAACAAAATTTACGGGTAGCAAACAGAAATATAGTAATCACTTCCAGTTAGCGAATCCTTAACAATAAAAACTTTGAAAAGACACTCTGAACTTAAACAGCTCCGCCATTAGTTAAGTAAACGGTAAAAAACTAAAATTGCGTAAAATACAATGCTTAAATGACAAATCAGTCAGAATCAGACTGATGTTCAGACGGTGGTGAACTACGAAGCTTAACACTTAATACAGAACTGAGCATAGGCAAAAATGTATGACTGAGAATATTATGGATTATACAAATAATACTAAGTTCTTAAATCACTTCATGAACTTCATACCTACAAAAAATTTACTAATGATAAAACATTTCTATAGAGTGAATATTGTTAAAAAATAAAAGAAACAAGTTAGTAATTGAAACTCATGAAAACAATCATTGTTGAAGTAAAGGGTTATGCATTTGCAAATAACTCTTAACAGAATATTTCTGGTATATTAAACTGAAAACGAGATTAAAATATTAGATTGAAAATCAAATGCATAGCAGTTGTATTCTGGGTGCTCGTTTCTAACCATTTTTATATATTGAATTTGGTATTTTCTAAAGGGGTACCAAACAACCACACCATACTCCAGAATTGACCTAACCATAGAAATCTATTCCTGTCACTCCAAATTTGAATTTTTTGTATGTATGTAAAAACTAGTGATACTGATTTTGCTGCTTCAGATTCGATGTTTTGGAATTCTTTGCCCAAAGATTTTAAACAATCAAAACTCAAAAAAGATGCATTGACATATACCACTTCAATTCTCTGCAAGTGTTCATTATGCAGTGGTTATGAAAAAATTATATGTGTGTGTGTGTGTGTGTGTGTGTGTGTGTGTGTGTGTGTGTGTGTGTGTGTGTGTGTGTGTGTGTGTGTGTGTGTGTGTGTGTGTGTGTGTGTGTGTGTGTGTGTGTGTGTGTGTGGTGTAATCGAGTGTGTGTGTATAAAAGCAATTAAAAAAATTGTGAAAATGATACCTTTATGTACTTCAAAAACTCCTAAATCAACACCTTCAAAATTTGTTTTAGCCATCCTGAAAGTGACAATATTTCTAGTATAATTTAAGACATAATGTAAAAAAACAAAATGAATACTTTGAAGGTTGTATTATAGATATTTGTGTCTCCATATTTTTTTTTTCAAACTTTAAACCAGAGAACCATGAACTGAAAATAAATATTTACAAACTTTTATTAGAATATATTAATAATTTAATTTATTTAAAGTTCATATTGTTTTAAGGGTCATAATTATCATTCTGAATAAAAAAAAATGTCATTTAGGTTATCAGTTATCTACTATATATATAAACAGTTATAAATAATATTTGGGAGTGACATGTCAGAAGTGAGCTGTTCTGAGACCAATGTATGTCAGGCTTAATAATGCTCATGACGTCCAGTTTGTGAGTTTGTGTCATAACAGAGAGTTTATATGTTTACCAGTATGAGGCAGAGGAAAAGTAAAAAAAACTAACATTTTGTTGTCATTATTTTCATACAATGATTTGCTTTCCAGTTTTCTTCTTAAACTTTTTAATGATGAGTTTCCAGGAGATTGTTTAGAGTAAGGATTTACACAAAACAGACATGATCCATGTTTACTATTCCTGAAACATTTGAAATTAATTACTTGTATATCACATTAACACCAGAGTTAAAATTTAACTCTGATGTTAATGTGATATACAAGTATATTAATTTTTAGTTTAATTTGTTAAATTGAAAAAAAAACACATAATTGATTCTCAGATATCTTACATTTGTCAAGAAAATCAACAATTGCTTAGATTAAGACTTTAATTAAGACAAGTTAATAATAATAACATGTTTATTATGTATCAATATTATTAATCATTATTGATGTTATAACTATATAAATAATATAATTACGACAACATCATTATTTATTTTATAAAAATAAAATTAAAATAAATATCATAATAATAATAATAATTTTATTTTATTTATAAATTTTTATATATTATAATATTATATTATATAATTTTAGTTATATACTTTTAATGAAAGTAACCTCATTAAAACGAAACTCGATACGAAACCGAGACGATTGCAACTGACAACAAGCATTGAAATGGAAAATGTCGTAAAGAGCGCCCTGCAATTTTAATTCATTTCACGACAGACCAACGTCCCAACAAGTCCTGTTTAAGTAACGTTAGCAACATTCCAACGAGCATCAACTCAAAATTTCACTACGGAAAACCGAAATGATTTTGTGTCTACATTTTATTTTTTATTAACAATTATTTTAATAAATAAACATATTAATTTATTATATTTTGTTTGTATTTGTTTATCTCAACACGTTGGTAAGTCAACACAGTTGGTGCCACGTCTCGGACAGTTTCGCGATCGTCGGGTTTGAATACTCTCTGTCCAAATGCAGAAAATCTGAGATTCAAACAACTACAGTACAATATAATTTTGCAAACTATTTTCAATATAACTTTCATGTTAAGTAGTTTAATTCAATTCCTGTGTTTGATTCAATGCTCAAGATATTTTCAAGCGACAAAAATGAGCTATTGCCTTCTTTAAGTTATGTAATTTTTATCTTTGCAGTTAAAACTCAACAAACTAATTACGAAGAAATTTTTTATTAATTTATATTATTCAAGGACGATAAAATCTCAAAACTGTAATTAGAAAAATTTGATATAAATGAATAAATAAATGTACACACACAAAAGCACAAAAACATCCCAATCGTACATTGTGTTATTTATTAATAGATACCGATTTAAATCATTCCAGTGACTTCATCGTTGTTGTATTTCTTGTTAGGTTAGCCAAAAACGCAGTAACGAAATCAAGAAAGACAACTTACCTGCCGAAAAATGTTCAGACGTTAAATTTATTCATTATCATAATTGTTTGGTGGACCAAATAACTTATTAAAAATTATTATTATTAATTTTATTATTAATAATATTATTATTATTATCAATGAAACTTGCATCTTTAACATACGTGTAGATAATTTTTGAATTAATAAAATTTCAAATGATAAAAAAAGATGCAAACCGAGAGTGTGTCTGTCATATTCAGACTTAGAATATAAGAACTCTGAAGACATGGGCGCATAAGATGGTTCTGAATAGAATGTTGGCAATGCAGTAGGTTTTCTCTTTCTCTCAAACGAATCGGTGGTGTGGTAGTCATATTTTATTTCTAGTGAATTTAAAATTTATTTAAAATTTGATTCAATCAAGTTTTAGGAAAAAATAACTCAAAATTTTATACCCTTCAAGAGCATGTATTTTTCTTGTCTGCCGTGCTTGTTGGCGGCAACGCACTTATATTCTCCGAAGTCCATCTCAGATTTTATTTTTATCTTCAGAGACAATATCAATTTGTTTTCAGGTTCCGAATAGGTTTCAATGTAGTATTGTTCCGATGATGTGATTCGCTTTCCATTCTTTTCCCAGTGGTTAACAGCATGTGGAAATGCAATTATTAAACATATTAGGATCGTTTCTTTTCCAACTCCTTGGAAAATTTGATCATTCCGCAAGAAAACTTTTGGAGCAACTGAATAATTTAAATAACTTTTTTCTAGCATACTGGCTTCAAAATAATTTGTTAAAATTGAACAAGTATATAACAAAAAATGTATGATTTATTTGATTTTGTAGTCTATTTTAAAATTCGAGTCAACTTTGTAAGCAATCTGGATGTTACTCTTGAAACTGATTAAAGCTAAAACTTTTTATTTGATCTTTATTCCTACACCAAATATTTTCTAAAACTTTAAAAAGGTTGGGTCCAAAAAGCGATAAATAATTTTTTTTCTTTCAAATTCAAACGTCGTTTGGTTGCACTTTCTCTACTTCGTCTTGTATTTTGTTTTCAAACATGTTTAGAAGTTAAAGCAGTAACATTAAGTTCTATCTAAGAAGTGATCAACCGAATTTCATATAGTAACATGCAACTACCGTTACAAACATCATTAACCAGATTTTTCATTTTTAAGTAAAACGCAATATTTCAACGATCTTTACAACACAAGTTTAATCTCCCAACTTTCCAAAGTGCTGGAAATGTGAATGTTCATTATTGTCCAGTCACGGCCCTTTACAGACGGCATTCAAATGAAGCTTCAAAAATCAAAACAATTATGCTGCCTTCTGAGCTTATTTCCTGATTATTTATTCACATCAAATTTTTGAATGATATGATTTTTATTATTTTGAGATACGGCACGGAATCAAATTTGCTCAGTCCCGATATCTATTGGCAAAGTAATTCAAACGATTTTTACAAATGTTTGTGTTTGCACTTAGACAGACAGTACAATTTTTATTTTATAACCTTTGAATCGTTAAAAACTCTATGAATCAGCACAAAATCTAGCTAAATAAGCAAGAATACAATACAAGCAAAGATTCAATAAACGAATTGTTATTAGTTATTTCATTTTCTCGGGTGATTAACTTTCAACACAAGTGTTTTTGAAACGTGGAACTAACTAACATTCGACGATGACGTTGAAGGACCTGGAAGCAGGTGGGGGCACGTGGTTCGTGGCCTCGCACAGGTACACCCCATCACAATCCCTCGTCACGTTGTACATTACGTAGGTGGAGTCCACTTCGTTGATTGCTGGCATGCATGACGTTTGCATGTTTGTGAAATGCAGAGTTAAACCAAATAGTTTTTCCTATTGAATTACACACGCACGCACACACATACACAGAGAGAGGGGGGGGGAGAGAGAAGGAGATACAATACACGCACGCACATACCCAAAAATATGCACATATTTTTATACATATAAATAGCAGCAAACAATCGCTGATACATTTTTAATATTGGTATTAGATTATTAGTATCGAATGCGATATCGATAATTGATGTTTTGAAACCGATACGTATGTACAATTTAAACGGGGGGAAAGAGAGACTCAATAGCGATGTTGAGTTTCGATATTCTTTTAGAATCAATATCTGTACCGACAAGACAGTTTTTGAAGTATAAACCGAATAAACTTGTTAGTTTAAAAAAGAACTCGAAACAATAGAGGAAAAGACAAAGCTAAGATTAAAGCATTGTTCCACCAACCAAACGCATTTGCTGAAACATAATTCGACGGCTTCTATAACAATTATCATCAATCATCCATGAGAACTTTTTACATTCAGAAATGATATAGCTACTGCATCTTATAGATTGCAGACGAAAGCGGGTGTTGACCAGGAATCATCAGTGGAATGTGTACGTTTCGATTTCGATTTGGAAGATTTAAAAGTAGAGTAGTGATTGATCGTAAACAAAAACATTAACGAAGAAAGTTTAACGATAAAAAACAAAACATTCACGCAGATTGTGCAACAATCTCAATTCGTTTACATAGGCTTTAGATCATTCAAAAACAAGCGAACTGGTGTTACTTTGCTGCTATTTGTATTAATAATACATTGGCTGAACCGGCGGTCATTTGTAGCTATCACTTCTTCTTTAACAATGCGTGTTCACCATTTTGTGGTTAATACCATGCAGTGACCATTTATGGTGGCCATTTTGCAGCTACCCTCAGCGTTTTATCATTGGTGAACAATGGATATGTTTATTTATTGCACCTCTCCTCTTTAACATTGTTATTTTTCTCCAAAGATCTTTGCAATTTATGACATCACCAATCTTATTTACATTGTTACAATGCTAAAAAAATGTAGCCCACGTAATAAATGAAGCCGTGCATTTATTCAATTTGGGCAGAAAATTATTTTCTATAATGCATTCTCCCAATTCAATAATTTTTAATGTCATTTTTGAATAATAAAATAAAAATATTACATCAAGTTGCTTTGAAAAAGTTATCACATATCAATGTTACACACTCATCAATTTTTTTTCAAAATAGACAATCTATTTGCATTTATTCGCTAATTAAAATAGGCACAACAAAACCTTTCATAAACAAAAAGATATGTAATAAAGCGATACTACCTGAACTTTTGAATTTGCATGAATTTGATTGGTTGGTTGACTTCCTCCACGTCACGTTTGGTTTTGGTTGTCCGGTTGCGTGGCACAATAATTTAATTGTGTCTCCTTCGTACACTGTGATATCACTATCATTGTTGTGGATTATTGACGGAGGAACTGCAAAATAAATCAAAAAAAGATTTTTTTCTTTGATTTTTTTCCCTATGAATCGGAGTATGCTCATCTTGGCCATATAATGACAAGTGTCAAGTTTATCTTTAGCGAGCACCTGGGTAACCTCGCGTTTCGGTGTCAATGAAAATGTCAATGTGTATGAAAACTTAAGCGCCTGAGGGAGCCTTGATTGATGATCGTCTATATAAAGAGCACAAACGCGTCTGACATCAGTGACAATGATTTTGTGAAATATTCTTTGTGCAAAAATATTTCATCGTGCTGTTTGTGGAAATGTAATCGCATGCAAATATTTTTTGCATGAAACGCACAACTTCAATGTTGAGTCGTTCAATTTTTTCATGTCGACGGAGTCATTCCATGTTTCCAAAGTATACAAGTGAATCGTTTGTAGCGTTTTTTGCCACCTGACTGCATGCTGAGACGCGCGTGATGTAATAGTTAAACAAAAAACGTTCGCTAACATTTGACATGCAGCTGTACAGTTTTACTGATGGGAGGGTTAGTGTTGACGGAGCATCGGTATACACCCTCGTCCTCCGTTTTGACGTCACGAATTTGAAGATTCCAGTCGCTGTCAGATGCACGAATCACGCTGAACCTCGAATCGTCAATTACCCTTTTTTCCTCAAAGGATATCGGCAGATTGTGAACGTCTAACCATAGGACCTGGACGTTTTTTCAAACTTATTCTCATGTTTGTTTGTATGTTTTTAATATATCTTAGTTTATTTATCTGACTACAAATTTAAAAAATTTAATTGTTATTAAGTTTCAAATTTAAGATAATTTAAATTGACGATAAAGATTCAAATCAATTTCACAAAACTTTTAAAAGTATCAAAATGTTTAAATTTCAGTAGAAAAAAGCAGCTTGTTGGAAAATTTTTAAGAAATAAAGATTCTACAGTAGACACATCAATCAGAATTTTTATTTCTACAATTTAAATGGAAGAGCATAATTTAATACAGTGGCCAGCCAAAATTTTAAATAAAAGTACATTTCTCGTTTAGCTAAAGCTCCAACTTTTATTAATCAGTTAAATTTCTCATACTTTATTCAAACTTGTTGCTTCTTTGAAAACTTTAAAAAACATATTATAAATAAAATTTTTACAAGTTTTTGATTTCGATTTTAGCACCTCCACTTAAGAGTAAGCTATCATATCTGATATAGTTACTACCATAATCAGCAACCATCATTGTCAACATCATCATCATATCATAATCGTCGTCGTAATCATTATCATCATCATCAGTCTCGTCATCGTCGTTGTCATCATCATCACTACCATCATCATCATCGTTATCAACCCACCGTCAAAACAAAATCTTTTTCATTATCATCATTATCATCACCATCATTATCATCATCAACAACTTCGTTATCATTATCATCATCGTCGTCGTAACATCAAAACTAAAAATAATCCTTGCCATGCGCATAATTACTATCAGAACATTTGTTAACGGTGCTGGTTTCAAATTTATAACTTGACAACATCGCAACTGTCTTCAAAATTCATCATCGCCATCTCCAATAACAACATCAGCCCCATCATCATCACTACCGTCTTATCTTCAGCACCATCATCATCACTACCGTCTTATCCTTAGTAACAACATTATCATCACCATCCATAACATTGTCACCATCAGTATAATCATCCTCTGCAAAATTAGCATCATTATTATCATCGTATGTATCATTTTTATCATCGTATGTATCATTATTATCATACTGCGTATAATTATTATCATGATATCTCATCATCCGTACCATAACTATACAATACAAGTAACCGTCATAGTTTCACTCAACACTTGCATCGTGAATACCTTTGCACGTGTTAACTAAATAGAGAAAGTGGGCGGAGAAGTGTGCCCGTTTTTGGACTAGATGCCCGGCTGCCGAGACAAGTTCTCCAAAGTACCCAAATCTCCCAATTTTATAAAAATGCATTAAGTTTAAAGTCCGAGGCTTGAAATTAATATGATAAAATACTGACAGACCAAAAAACGTTAAAGGACATTCATTGAGTAACCCATTTCAACTGACTTAACAAATTTTATTTTAAATTTTATTTTTGTTTTCCAAGAAAACATTGATTTATTCCCAACATTTTTTATCACGAGTAACAATTATATTTCATGTGTACTTATGAAAAAATATAACTGCTTCATTTTGTACCGGTTTTCCGATTTCAATTTCTGGTCAGTCGAGTATAATCTTAGATTCTGGAAACCTAAATTATATTTTCTTCGACTATTAAAATACAACAATTAGTTTTTGGATAATAGCTTGTAGTTTTTCCAATTTATTATTATCAACTGTTATAAAAAAAAAAGTTAAAAAATGGTAGTTTAGTTTATTGTCATTAGCAAATTTTAGTTTGATGTGTGTGTCAGGTGTGTCAGTGTGTGCTTTTTCAATAATATTGTACAAAGATTTCTTATTAATTAAAACAACAAAATTATTGAAAGGTAAAATTTTTGGTGATCTGTGAACAATGAACATTAATAAAACTATAAATTAAATATTCAACAAATCGAGAAATTAAATCACGATGATTTCATCCAGTATTCAATAAATATTTAACACTGTTTGACAGACAGCCGACTAGCCTTATAGATTCCCAAGTATTCAATTGAGCAGGGCAAAACAGCAGTCTGGTTCTTCATGACAATGATGGTCTCGCTCAACTTGTCAATCAGAGGATCGTAACCTAAAACTTTTGTGTCATCTCTAAAAGTTTTATACCAAAATTGTGCAGAATATGTTCAAAAATTAAGTTATTGCATTGTATTTATATTAAAAGCTATTGTCCATATATGAAGGTGATGAACATTTACTTGATTCTTCGTCAAATCCATTGATATCCAAATCATCTCCGAGATCACCCTCTGTTTGAGCTGCATGGAATTGTTTTCATTTGATGAATAAAAATATATAAATTTGAATTTGTGTGGTGTTTCATTGAAAGGTCGATGGATTGTGCTCTACGCTTGAAACTTTCATTTGAAATATGGTTGAATTCATCTTTTTCTAATTTTTATATAAAAATAAAGTTTCAGTTTGCATGTTTGGCATGGAATTTGTGGAAAACAAAATACGAATAATTATTAGTGGCGAGCAACTTTTTAACCGCTTCAACTAAATTATATCAACCTAAGGTTCGTTTACATTCATGTGATATATTTTAGAGACATATTCACAGCAGAAACGCACAGTCACAGTCGAACAACACCTCACATGGCTTCGTGAATATAATGAATATTAAAAAATTATATAGTGAGGTCATAACGCGAGCTGCAGTGGACGCATGGCAGTGACTTCAAAAGAAAAATTGTTTGATCGAATCCTGGCGGGCACATAATTTAGAAATAGAGCGGCATTATTTATTAATCAGCGTTAGGCTTCCTCTACTTCAAATTCTTTTATATAAAGATACGACATGAAAAATAATAAAACTCTGCAAATTTTGAAATGAAATTCAGAAATTGATGAAAAGTAGTCAGTGAATGAAACTGTAATTTACGTTGTACGTTAACGGTGAAACGTTTCAGAACACATTATTATGTAAAAAAAAAGTATTAATTGAAGCTGTTTTTGACCATGCGGAATGGCTGGATAAGCTATCGTTAAAAATTTGAAATGTGAATGTAAATTTGAAAAACTCTTGTCGGACTAGTAGGAAAGAAATCGCCAATTGTAGATATGTCCCACGCACACTGGAAGCGCTCCTCAAACATGCAGTATCATCATCATTTCACTTTTATGTTTGCTAACCAGATTTTATGTTTAATTAGAAACTTAAATAATCAAAGAGCTGAAACAATTGTTATCGTAACAATAAACACATATTAACACACCGTACAACTCATACATTACTATACCCAACATATTATATGTTCATTTATTTATTTAAATATTTATTTTAATTTTTATTCAAATGAAAATGTTCTACTAATAGTTTCACGTCAAAATGACGCAATCAAATTTTCTTGATAAGAAGTTCCGCAATAGCTCAACATGCATTTTCATGCGAACAGAACAAGAACATCCATGGTTGTTTTGCAAAATCATTTCCATGGCAGTGACAGAGTTTCAGGCATTCATCAGTGAGAAGAACAAATGAAAATGAAATACCAGAGTTAAGAATTTAAGACTTTTAGTTTGCTTGTAATTTTAAACGTTTGTAATTAGTAGGTAATTTTCAATTTCTTCAAATTAATTTACCCTGGTCCGAACACATCCACTCCATTATCAATAAGTCTAATAAACTTGTCAGCATCATTGGCATACTTCAAGCCAAATTTATATAGCAACTTAATGATAACCTTATATTACAGCTTTATTTATCCGTACTTATCATACCGTAACATTATATGGGAAACTCTTCAGCTTACTTGATCAGTCGTTTGTTCAAAATTCAAAAAAGATTTGTTAGAATATTTTATAAATTCAGATATAGAGACCATGTCACTCATCTATTTCCAGTGATTAAGATTTTAACAATAAAACAACTCTTTGCACATTATGCCTCTATTTTTGTTTTCAAATTTCTTCGAAACAAACTACCGGCATATTTTAAAAATTGCCTGAGCTTAACATGTGACGAAAATCAGAATGACAAGTCATTTAAAGACATTTTACATCCACTCACGGAAATCCTTTATGTTTCAGTCAAGTTTGTTGTTCGCTGGACCCAAGCTGTGGGACAATACCATTCCATGCAACATAAAGAACATTGCTAACAATTTTTGTAATTAGCATGTAATTTCAAACGTTTGTTAATAGTTTGTAATTTTAAACATTTGTCAATGCTTACAATGGAAAGTGTAAATTTATTCTGTCTGCACCGGCGAATCTAGCGGGGCTGAAGCCAGTTTTTTAATAAAAGCCTTAAAAAAGTATCATTTGACAAAATTGACCAAAAATTGAACGTAAGGGGCAAAAAAAAGGTCTACAGCCAAAGCCACACTACCACAAATCCTCCCATCCCCAGTAAAATGTTTGGCCACCCGTAAAAATTTCCATATTTTGCCCGTCAAAGTTGTCTAGATACGCCACTGTCTGTCTGTATTTATCAACTTTAACATTAAGGCATTTGAAAATCTAAATGGTTATTTTTTATAATTTTTTGTAAATTTTTATAAATGTTGTTTATAAAAATTATAAAAGATTTTTCAGTAGATTAAATTTTGGTCACTTATATATTGACCAACAGCAAATTAAATTTTCTATAGATGTAACAAAATTCTGGCTGAAAAAATAGAAGCATAAATAATAAAGAAACGATCGTTGTACAATTCAGAGATTGTGACCCTGACCTCCGTAAAAAAACATTCCAGTGATTTATTGTCTGTCTGTCTGCCTCTCTCTCTCTCTCTCTCTCTCTCTCTCTCTCTCTCTCTCTCTCTCTCTCTCTCTCTTTCTCACCCTCTCTCTATTTCTCTTTTGTCCTTTTACTGATGATTCGTTCTGTCTCTCTCAACAAAACTTTAAGTTTCATAATAAAACAAACTAAAACACACTCATCAGTGATTCAACATGGGATTGCATGTACAAAGCATTAAAACGAAAATGTCACACACACACACACACACACACACACACCAAAGATCGAAATGATTCTATGTTTATTTGTTTAAACAGATAATAGAATATTCATAATAGAAAAAAGTCAAACAAGCAGAAAGATTGTAAAGTAGAGGGCTCACGCCAATTAAAACACTTTACGACATGGTCGACAATGCTGTTCAGCATTTCTCAAATCTAAAGTTATCTAACGCGATAGATATACTGCACGGAAGGTTAATACTAAATACTAAATAAGTAAGCGTTAAAATAACTTCAAATAAATTTTTATGACATGAAATACATATTCATCATTCGTAGAGCAAATTTAATGATGAGTTTTTAAAAAAATGTCCAAATTACGTTACATTATGCAATGAATGAGCAAAAGTAATTGAAAGCAAATGAAATGGGAGACTAACCGTTGTTCCCGTTGTTGTGCAAACAAAGGAGCAATAGAAATATTTGAATTGTTTGCGAGAGAATCATTTAATAAATTTTCATTTAACTATTTCTGATCAATAAATGTACCACAAAATTTAGATGTTGACACGGTAATATATTTAATTTTATAAATTGGAAATATGAAACGTTTGCCGAAACTTGAAATTGCAGTTGAAAGTAAAATTTATTATTGAAGAGGATGAAATCTAAATTTACGATGGGTGCATGATGAGCTGATGGCCGAAGAGTTGAGAGCAAAAATGTGACGCCGACTTCAAGCAAACAGCACAAACGACGAACGAGTGAATGAATGAAAGAATGAATTAATGAATGAGTGAATGAACGAACTAATGAATGAATGAACGAACGAACGAATGTATGGAAAGTAGGAATATACAAATAAATAATAATATTATCACAAATTGTTGTTTGAACCAAAAAATAACAAGAAAATTTATTTAAAATTTATTATTATATACAAATTTTAAAAATTATGAATATTATTTTTTTTTAAACAGGCAAAAAATTAATCATTAACTCTAAAGATGGCACATAAGTTGAAAATTAATTATCATCACTAAAAAATCCCTCAGTAAAAAATCAAATAAAAGTAATTTTAAAAAAATGATGAATGAAATAAATGTAATTTAATAAACTGTTGTTTTGTTACTCAAAAGTGTATATAAATAAACTTATTTCAAAATTTTTCGAACGATGTCATCCCAGATGTTTGTTCATTTGATGCAACAATTTATTACAAATGGCCAGCCTGTTCTCCCAAACCAACTTTTAAAATTTTTCAGAATTTGTTAAAATTCGTCGTTTCCGTAATTCAGTTTCGCCATCTAGAGATTGAGTGAAAAGTTGTTAATTCAATTTAAGACATGTGTTTTGTATGTGTTCTATTCTGTGTACGAAGACACACACGCGTGGGTGTGTGTATTTATATATATATACATATATTATATATATATATATATATACTATTTTTTAATTATCATACTTTGCTTAACTTAAATCAATTAACTCACATCAATTAACTTACTGTCAACCCCATTTCAATTTTGGTTCGAAGTTATATTGTTTAACGTGCTTTGTTTGTTTTTTTTTATGTAAATAACTTATGTTAGATATAAAACTATCTCAAATCTTTAAATAAATTCTTGTCAAAACCAATTTGATAATGTAAATAACTCTTTTTAAACGACTTTTGTAAAAATATTTATACTGACTTATACTCAATTTCCGCTCCTAGTCAATCAAGCTCATTTTAGAAAACAACAGAGAAAATGGCGAAACCGCAAGAAGTATTTTAACTTACCAGCACTTAATTACATTACGCACAACATCACTTGTACACTACAATGATAAACACCTAGCTATATAGACCGTGTGTAATTTTTAAAATGATATAAGAAGATTATGCACGTGTGCATTCTGGTCTTTCTAGTTTAGAATTTGTATTTTAAGAAACAAGCATTCATTGTTATGCTGGTAACGTTGCACAACGCTCGCAATGACAAAACGTTAATAATAATTGTCTCCATCCGAATACTGAAGTCGTACTCGTTCGTGTTCATCGTTCCCATTCAAAGCTGCGTCAAACATTATTTTATGTGCACCATAAAGACATGCTTTGTGAACTTGCTTTTTTTATATAAAACTTTATGGTGAACAAGTTTGCACATCTAAACACACAACACATACTGACACATAGCCCACAACTAATATATATATATATATATATATATATATATATACATATATACATATATATATATATATTATAATATGTTAGTTATATTTAGCACATATATAACTTTTAAAACAGAACAGATTATTTAGATAGGCCTAAAGAGTTCAACCTCATCAGCCGTCTATCCAATTTTTGATTTCTGGTATCGCAACAAAAACCTTCCACCAGAAGCATGAACCTCCCTCTGGTTCTCTTATTAAGTTTTCTCTCCGGTGCTCCACTGGTCGTTTCTGGTAAGTAACTGCCACAGATGTTTCATCATTTTTATAAAATTGTTCTCACCATACTTTACAAACCTGTCGATACATTACTCCGCATGAAAAAAATTTTCTTTTGCCAGATTGCAGAAATCACAACTGCCAGAACGGGGGTACGTGTGTCCCGCAAGACCAGGGCTTCAAGTGGGACTACCACTGTGAGTGCCCGGCTGGTTACAAAGGGGAACAATGCCAGTGGGGTACGTTCGTTTCAATCACTTTGAACTTAATTAACCCAAAGTTTATTAAATTTTTCAAAAAATATAAACATTCAAAATTGAAGATGACACAAGCGTATGTGTAGACAACACAATTACTCCGTGCAAAAACGGCGGCATTTGCAAGAATGGAATAAATTCTGGAGAAAGATACTGCGATTGTCCTGGAAAAAATGCCACCTGGTTCAAATACGGGGGACATTACTGCGAGCTAAGTTTGTATTAAATTGACTTGTATATTATTTAAATGATGCTTTTTTGATTGAGAAATTTGTGCAAAACTTCTTGCTAAATATGATAAACTACGCTTTTATACACAAGCACTATACACCACATCATATACCTATAATAAATACTAATCAAATATGCAGACTATATACTAGGATACCTCATTTAGGATCATAATTTAGAAATATTTTACATGTAGGGCTATATTAATTCGTCATGCCTTTATTGGTAAGTCATTTTTTAATACATAAAAATAATGTTCAATTGAAGTTGCAATAGAAATATAATGAACGAAAGTTTGCAGTTGAAAAATCAGTTTTGTGCACATTGTTAAAACATCACGAAACGTTTTATTTTTGTAATCAAATTTAAAAAAATTAAAATTATTTTTTCTAAGCTTTATAAATAATGAAAACTGTTGATTTTTGTTAATAAATTTAAAAAAAATGAAAGTTATTGTTTTCTAACTTTGTGAATGACTAACATTCGTACCTACCACAGTCGATCCGTGCACAACATGCCCATACGGCACTAAAATCTGCCAAAGCATTCCAACCCAGAAAAGTGGTCGCTTTTGTCTGGACAACAGCAAAAGAGAATATTTTGCTTGATCGTTACGTCATGAGGAATTACCTTCATTCGTTCTCTATTACGTTTACTGATATTCTTGCTTGCTTGGTGAAACATTTGAAAATTTTCAATTACTATACCTAACTTACTTTATATATTGTCTGTTCACTAACACTTTTTGTCGTGTAATTTTAATCTATCATAATCTAGAGCCATCTAAATAAATATTAACAAGCATGCCAATTGAAACTGTTTGCAAGTTGTTTGTCAATAATCATACCGTTGGTATTTTTGAATTTATTGAAATTTAACAAACAAGAAATTTTTCAATAAATATTTATTTTTAATTTCAATCTAATAAATTAAATAAGCGTGTTTCTTAACGTTTGAATATAAAATTACAAAAAAAAACTAAAAAAAATTGTTTTTAAAATGGTCTGATCTTATCTGGAGACTGCCATTCAGTCAATCGATCCATATCGTCATTTGGCCAATCAATATCGTAACCATGGCGCTGAACTAGTTGTCGTTCACCGCTGAACAACCTGACGTAACATACCTACTTTCCTTTGGAGTTCTTCAGATTATCTTAAGTGAAAATGAGCTCGTCAAATTTGTTGGAGTCATTTGAAAAGAATACGACGACGCATGGTGTGGGCACCATTGCTTTGTCGACTGGTAGGATCGATTGTTAATTTGTTCATTAACATTTGAATTTAAACGATTCAGATCAACATTTTTCCCGTCAAAATTTATATTCATTAAATTTATATTTATTGATAACTTATTAAAATATGTTCTAATTATTTTACTAATATGAACTTTATTAATGCAATGTTTATAAACAGGACGCTTTAAAAAGATATTTTGGATTTGTTTCACCTTTGCTGCAACAGCTGTCTTGATCTTCAACCTGTACAGACAGATCCAAAAGTACTTCGATTATTCAGTCTCGGTCGGCATCTCGATACAACACGCCAACGATATCGACTTCCCGGCCATCACGCTGTGCAATATCAACCCGGTAAAAAAATCTCAATTCCAAAGTCAGTCTGTCTCGAAAAGAAAAAAGAGGAGCGTCAGTAAGTGTATTTAACGTAATAACATTTCGGCACGTTAATTCAAGTGTGAATTTGCGCACGTGTTCAGTGACTCTTAATTTAATGACAACCGGTAACTTTTCTGATGGCCGCATTTAGATAAAATTGATGAGAGTTGTGACGGGTGAGTGTATGGTAATTGGTAATGGTAACCATGCGACCCGACAGTTCGAAGTACCGTACCAACAAATACGCTGTCTCACAAATCTCGTTTGAATAACACTAAATGGTGGTAAACATTATTTATTTGAAAATTCAGATCAATATGATGCAAAATGTTGTTGTTTTTGTTGTCCGACTTACAATGGAACCAACCCAGCAAATGAATGCAGTAAGTGTGGCAATTCCCTGTCCAACAACTTTTGCAATGGAGGGCAAGATGGCACGCAATCAACATTTCTACCGCCATCCACCATTCAATACAAAACTACTGGTTCGTCTTCGTCCTCCCAGACAACAACACCAACAACAACAGGAAATTATCAAACCACTACTTCTGCACCTGTTTTACCAAAAGAAACTTTTTTAAAAGCAGAGTTATTGACAGAAATTTTATCAAATTCAAGCAAACGTTTCGGTTATACATTGAACGATCTTGTACTCAACTGCACATTTGCGGGCAGCAACTGTGATCCAAAGTACAATTTATATTCATCATAATATTTAAATGTTTGTTAATAAATCAAACAAACTTCCTGAAGATATTTTTTCCAATTTTACAACCCGATTCACGGAAACTGCTTCGTCTTCAACAGTGGATGGCAGGTTGCAAGTTTGAAGTCCCATCGAACAGGCAGACGATACGGTTGAAACTTTCAAAAAATTGAATATCAATTTTTAATGAATTTTGTCATTAAAATTGAGTTTATGCCAAACAAGTTCTGATTAACGCTGAAATAAAATTAATTGCTTAAGTTGAGAAGTTTTTTTCACAAGAATATTCATAAATTCAAAGTTATCCGCTTAAAATTTATTTATATATAAAACTAAAATTTTGTTATAGGTGTATTGTTTTTAAATGTTCATTAATTTTTCCCTTTTAAAATTTAAAAATAACTTTTTAAAAATTATACTAAATAGTTTTACAAATAGCCAACCACCGATCGTGTAATACTTGTAAAAGAAAATCATATCTAGACTCAAGAAAAACTTAATGTCAAATATTTATAAATTATACGAATGTAAATTATACGAATGAAAAAGTTCTTGTTCGATAAATACTAAATAGAAAAACTGACCTTCAAATTGAACAGGTCTCATGATGACATTGAACATAAACCAAGACGAATACGTTAGTGACGCTGGTGACACGGCTGGTATCAGACTTGTCGTCCACATTGGATTGCAGGCCCCATTCCCAGAGGACCAGGGCATCCTAGTCAGTCCTGGACATTTGACCTCAATTTCATTGAAGAAGGTCGGTTCAAAACTTAATTTTAAAATTTAAAGTTTTCAATGAATTTCGGTTTCAACCAATAATGATATATATTATATTCTTATACTTTGAAACAAAATTAAAATTACTTTATCTTAGCTGATGTGATAATAATTTTTTTTTATTTTAAAAACTTCAAATGAATGTCTTACGTTTAAAAAATACTTTAATACCACACAATATTGAATGAATATTGTTCCCAAGTTACAATTTCTCTTGGCTCTAAACAGACTTATTTTAATCAATTTAAGCAGCTAACTCGCGCCGATGCAATTGAAATTAAATACATTTGTTTTCGATGCGTTCATTAAGATTTTTTATTTGTTAATCTCAGGAAAAAATCAGTATTAAAAATTAATCAGTAATAAAAATATTAATTACATCGATTCATTTCAATTGACCTACTAACCATCTACTGGAACAATTATTAATACATTTCTAAAAACATCAATTCAAAGGCGTTTATTGAAAAACCAAATATTGATACAATTCATCGTCATTCAAGATGGATGATGTTGTAGCGTAATTATCTAGCAAATAAGTTATTTATAAAAAAAACAATCAACTTTCAGCCATACATCTTTTCAAAAATCATAAAATTATTTTTTAAGATTCCATTCAAGCGATATTAAATTTGTTACACATAGATTGTTGTTGAGAGGAGAGGCCAACCGTACTCGAAGTGCGTGGACTCAAGCGATGCCAACATGGACAATGTTTATAAAGAAATTTTCCCTGAAACTAGATACAGTCAAGGAGTATAATTAGTTTTATTTTATTTTTTTAAATTGTATCAAAACGCAAAATATTATGCAGAACAAACTATTAACTAAATATAAATTAGTAAAAAACAATTTTAATGAATTAGTAGCCAAAATGAGTAATCGTTTGAAATGTTTTTTGTTAAGAAGCATGCTAAGATGAGGTTAAAACAGGGCCATACATTACGTTACTTCATGTGTATTCCTTAGCTTATTCTATTCATCATGTTAATCAATTTTGCAAACTGAAAAAATTTATTAATCAAACTGATAAAAACGTTTCATATCTTAAAAGTGACCTAGCCAAAAAGTTTTTCGAAATAGAGAAATGGATGTTATCAAATCAAATTTTATCGACGTTTTTAGGTTTTACTCAATTTAAAACAGTCAATGAATCATATTAGGATATAAAGTAATAGTTCGAACAAATTTGCTATCCCGGTTAAATAACCTTGAATAAATTTACATACTAAAATGGATTTATGATGGCACAGGCTTGCCAAAGAACGTGCTATCAAAAAAATGTCATGCTGGCGTGCGGTTGCGGCGATCCACACTACCCCTTGAATGGAACCGTTTTTGGAAATAAACTTTGGCCCATCTGTAGCGTTTCTGATGCAAAACAAGGTACAACATTTCTTTTTGTATTTAGACCATATTTAGACCAGACACTTTACATAACATCAATTTTCGATAAGGAAGTTGTTGGATTTTTTTGTATTTAGACCAGACACCTCACATCACATCAATTTTTGATAAGGAAGTTGTTGGATTTTTTAAAATAATTTCTTTGAAAGTTAGCCAAATTTATATACCTTTCGTTCAACTCTACAATGTTGTAAAGTTATTCAAATATGTTCGGTCCATGTTTGCTAGCAAAAATAGCAATCAACTTGCGTTGTTTGGTCCTTAATAGTTGCTGGCAAAACAGATATTTGAAATAGAAAAGATTTACTTAAAAATAAGGGCATGCTTTTGTTTATTAAATTAAATTTTTTTATTCAGAAAAATGTAGAAAAGAAATTTTGAATAATTTCAACAATAACGAGTCAATGTGCACTTGTCCGGTGGTTTGCAGGTATGTATATGTGTGTTGTGTATATAAATTTTTTTATAAATCTGAAGGTTGAAAGTAAAATAATTTAATTGTATATATCCAGTGAAACATCATACATGACGTCAGTTTCAATTGGTCAGTGGCCGTCACAAGTTTTACTGGTAGTCGTTTATTAAATTTACATTTCAGCATATTTTTATCTATTATTTTGGAAAAATATTTTTAAAAAGAATGATACCTTGAAATATTTGGACGACAAAGTACCTTTTGACATGTTTCAAGACAATAAGTACAAGGACAATCTCTTAACTGTCGAAATATATTTTGAAGAGTTCAACTTTCAAGTACTATCCGAATCGCCAAGCTATGAAGTAAATGGCTTTTGATAAATAAAAATTTAAAGTTTAACAAACACAGATTAAATATTTTTCGTAGGTGGCCCAGTTTCTGTCAGATATTGGAGGGATTTTAGGGTTATACTTGGGAATGTCTTTTATGTCAGTTGTTGAATTTGTTGAACTTTTCATCGATTTTGTCCTACTTCTTTGTCAAAAATGTATTCTGGTAAAAACTCTAAGAAAGAGAAATAATAAAATTCAACGGGAAAATAATGAGACGCATGAAACTGTGAAGACACCAAATGAACCTACGCAATCTCAAAACCTGACAAAACCTTTGAAAACACCAAAATCAACTAACAGCGTGAGAGATTTGCTTTTGAAATTTTAAATAAAAGCTGGGTGCTCTATAAATAGAACTTCTTATTAGCTTAGCAGAAATATTTATAAGTACATTTGCTTTTATGACAATTTTGTTAGAAATTAAAAGTTATTGTTAGGTTTTTTAACGTTCTGTTTTTCTTGGAATGAGTTAAATGTATAAAGTTTATTGTGAACCCTATAACATTAACGAACATTACATTTTATTTATTATGTAGGAATAACTTATTATTCTCATATCTCGTCGTCTTTATAAAACTGTACATTATATAGATTTGAGGTATAATCCAGAGAAATAAAATTGAAAATGATTCTATTAGCTAGCAGTAAGGCTCGTGCCGTGTCGTTTTTGCTTTATCAACCTTTTCCATCATGTGAAGGGCAGTTATTTTAGTTATGTGTGCAGGGTAGAACCATCGCATAAAATAAATATTAAAATTATTATTATAAAATAATTATGACGTTCCATAGTTGGCTAAAAAATGTGTAAAACTAAACTTGCGGTTGCATAATAATTTGTTTTGCCTCTATCTACCTATCCTGTGCCTATCCTGCCCAGTGTCTATCGCGAGTGTCTATACTTTATTTGTCGCACCGAACATAAAAGTGATGATTACAAAATGAACAGCGTTAGTCAAGAATGTCAAGAGTTGAAATTCTCCTACGATGCTTGCTTCAATAAGTGGTTCAGAGAGCATTTTCTTCGAGGCAACTCCGACGCTTCAGTGTGTTCCGAAATTTTTGCAGACTATCAGAAGTGTGTAAAGGTTGGCACTGGATAAATTATTTTGAAATTTTTATTTAGTCTATCGATATATGCACTTATAATATATATGTAAAACTAAAAGCAAGTGCAAGAATGGATGTTTAGTTCTGTTTACAGTTGAGCTTTTCAATATTTTTAACTGTTATTTTATAATTATTAAAAAATTATTTATAGTTTATATAATAAACTCAATTTATCTGGGCTAAATGTTCATTTATTTCCCCATTGTGTTTTTTGTTTTTTTATTGTTGTGCAACAAATTTAAATAGCTTAACACAAATCACAAACTCATAATAGGTTAAGAAAGGAGCATAGTTTTGCATTTTTGAGCAATTATGTCCAGTTTCAAGAAGATTGTATAAATAAACTGCTATGCTGCAAGTCTAAAACACACAACACATCATCTGTTTAGCAGATGTGGCATTTAAATATCTTATTAGCGAACAAGATGTTTGACAATATAGAACACTGGCTTTTGAACCCATGAATTCATTGATATCGTTACCTGCGATTTTAGAATCTTAAAAGAATACTTAGATAAATGTATGGTGCTTTGTATTGCGCATGCATACATAATGTACATTTAGCGCTCGTACTTTTGACATATGCTATTAGATTTTTTTATTATTCTTTAGATATCATTTAGATTATAAAAATATTGCTAATAATTTCAATAATTGATTAATTGTTTGGTCAGTTGGTTGTTTGTTTTATGTATATTTTTGCATTCAACTTTTGTTATTTTTAAAAACATTATTCTTATTTATTTGTTTATTTTATTTTAGAAAGCCCTGAAAGAAAAGAATATTGATACAAAGGAAATGGAACGAAATCATTATGATACTAAAGATTGAGAATTTATAGTTACATGACCATTAATCGTCGTTTTCAAAGTTGAAATATAATGTACAAAAACATTTTTGCAGGCGTTATGATTATTTGTTTTCGACTTGTAAATGATCGCGTCCACCCATTCATAACGTTTGTTTTTTCAACATGCTTCAAAAATGCAATCATTCCTCATCAAGTATGGCAAACATGTGAGAAGGTTGTGGCATGGATATATATATTGTGGTACAATTGCGTTATTTATTTTTCTGTGATGCGTTTTTTGCAGTTACGCTTTCAGAAATCAGTAAATAAAATAACCGCTACGTTTTACGTCTTCATCTTCCAGCAATATCAAAATTTTTGTCTTTTCTGAAATCTGCTTGTTTTCCTCTTAGGAATTAGTGCTACAGATCAATAATGGTAAATATTGTTTTATTTTTTCAGACAGCTTTCTTTGGTAATGTATCCGAGACAGATTTGCGTCATGCCTCTGGTTATTTTTATTTCTTCTAAGTTTTGTTTACAGATCTACAGATTTAATTATTAATATTTTATTTTATTCCGCTTTGTTCTGTGCAAAATAAGCAGAATAAAGGCGCTTTACACACTCAGAGAATAGTAAAAGCTTGAAATATTCCCATATAAGCGCTGATGATGAGTAAAATCGAAATATGGCCTATACGCTTCAGCTTCACGACACCAACGATTTTCTAATTAATTTAAATATCTTGGATAATTATAAGACTACTTTTAGAATTATTGAAAAGCTCAATCTTAAACTTTCAAAAGCTAAAAATTCGCTAGATTTTATCAAACAAATATATATATTTATTAAAACAATATTAAAATTTTAGTACGATCTTATGTTTTTTAGGGTTTTTAAGCGTTGTTTCGTTGTCGTTTCTTGCGTTGTCAATGAAAACAAATGTGGTTGAGTTTAAAATGTGATCGAACTCCCTATTAAGAATCTTGTTTATTTGCGTCAAACAAATTAAAATGAATTTTTCTGATCAATTTAATGGGGTCGTTCAATTTTCTACAGAGCGTCAAAATACAAAGTTGGAATTTTTTGTTTCGTTTTTCTGCTTTTTATTATTATTATTTTTTTTTAGTTTATCTATTTTTAACTAAAATTTTTAATATGATTATATGTGTCATAAAGATAGACATTTACAAACTGTAGAATAAATTATTTTCTAATTTTTTAAATTGTTTAGTTTCTACATTAATTTAGTTGTTATGTTTGTTTATAACTGTTATGTTATGTGCTATCTGTGTTATATATATATATATATATATATATATATATATATATATATATACATATATATATATATATATAATAAATTATAAAAAAACTAATTGAAGATTAAAGGTTTTTTTAAATTTAATAATTTATATAAGATTGTACAAGGTGTATGATGGTAGAGATGTTTGTTAAATGTGATAACAAAACACACATATCGGAGCATTCTGATTTTTCTGCAAAAAAATCTTTGCTATGAGTAAAAGTCTTATGAATTATAATAAGAATTTTAAAATTTTTTATTTTCTATTCATGCTAACTCTGATAATGAAAATTTTACAAGAAAAAAAATCAACAGTCTTGTTTGTGATTTATATGTTATATAAAGATTTCAAGTTTTATTAGTAATTGTTTTTTTAATTTTTTACAATTTATTTTTTGTTCACAGAAAATATAACACATCTGAAAGTCAGACCAACAATATAAAATGTTCTGATTTGCAAGTGCAGTCGTATAGAGGCAAAGAAAAAGAAGTTACACACATTTTTTTTATTATATAAAGTTCTATGTATTCATAGTTATAAATGTAAGTTCCCCACTAAGTTTACAAGATTTTTAATCAAATTAAACTGTTCAATTCATCAAGTGCCAAACTGTTATTAGCAAAGATTTTTCTGATTACCAACATGACAATTCTGATGATTTACTGAATCACCTTCAAAAAATGGAAAACCGAATGTTGAAATATTTAAAATGTAATAGCTGGAACAAGACAGCTGGTGAGGCATCTTTCATTTTGTTATTGTTATCGTTATCATTTGAACTCTGACCCACGATTTTAGCTTAAGTTAAGTACTCCAGAGCAAACAACAACTTTTTGTTTTTCGTATTGTTATCTGCATTTCATGGTCTATATAAAATGTTTTTATGTCACAAATTATATAATTTTGCCAAAAATGAACTCCACAAACAAATTAATACACAACGTTAATGTGAGAACCAAAATAAAAGCTTTTATGGGTAAAGAGGTAATAGGTCGAATAACGTTCTATCGTTTGTGACTCATTAACTTTTCAGTATGCTTGGACTTTTCTGATTTTAATGACTCCAGCATAAATTGGAGCATATAATTTTTATATTGACCTTAATTATATTTAAGAGCATTATAATTGTATTTAAAAAATTATGAATAAACTTTTATAAAAATTTCTTGTCAGCTTACTTCCCGATAAATAGCGATATTGATTCTAGTTGTATGAATTCAAAAAAGTTGAAAGGCGTAGATAATGCTGACGACAAGGTTTGACATAAACTTTATAGACGTTTGGTTTTTGTTAGATCAAAAGATAAATTTATTTAATCTCTTTAGTTCTGTGTTACCAGCATATCATGGAATCTTCTGGGAACTGTGTTTGCTGTTGCATATCTTTTTTTGATCGAAGAATTACGATTTCGTGATATAGTTCGATGTATCAGGATTTAATTGAGCAATGTTTGCATTACTACGTCTTAACTTATTATTTGTGTTTCTGTGTTTGATGTACTACTTCCGTTTTTGAGCTTTATTTTAACGTATCAAACCTTAATTTTGTTGCAAATTTCAACGCATCCTATTTCTCGAAATGTTTTTTTGTGTGATATTTCACTTACGGAAAGATGGACCACAACGATTGCTGTACAGATAAAACGAGCATCAACTTCTGGAGCGTTAACAGGCTGGAATCAAATAACACGCAACCAGATAAATACGTGGAGGTGGCTGGTTGCGTCGTTTCACTGGCCTACCACTATTCAATTATTTCTATTATCGCTTGCGCTACGTTTAATGGTGAACTTTCTAGACGCAAACCAAACGTTTAAAAGTAATGATGGTCAATAAAATATTACATTTAGGTGAGATAATAATTTACGATCTCTCTCTGACCGAATGCTTGTTGCTAAGAACATCTGCTCATTCGGACAAGGTAATCTTTATCAAATGGATTGGCGAGAGGAACTTGCATAAGGTTAATCATGTGTTGTAAAAGATTCTTAAGAATTACGAAACATAATTAAATACCTTCATCAGTGTTTTTTTAATAATGGTAATGATACATATATATGAAAAAATATAATCTTGCACGATAGAATGATAACAAACAATTAACAGTTAACCATTAACGAATGGTTAAATTTATCTCGTGTCTTTACTGTTTCAAGTAGGAATGTTATTAAAAGAAATATCGGGCTCAGATTTTAAATGGTTTTTTGAAGGGTGATAAATTGCCGATTTGTTGTCGAAGTTTTTCAGATGGAGACCTCGATTTTTGGTTCATATTTCATTAACAGAAACTATATTTAAACGTTGGTGAATACTAAATATCAAGTTGAACCATGGATGTTATCTATATTTTATTTTAAAACAAAAACGGATGAGCCCGGAATATGCAAAAAATATTAGAAAAGAGAGAAAGAGGGTGATGATCAAAAAAGGAATTTTTAACACCACAGACGCTTATAATCACCAATAAGCAAGCTTAAAATTTCTATTTCATCCTAACAAATCTGAATCGTGTCATTGTTGGATTGTGTCACTGTCGTATTGTGTTATTCTTGTATTGTGTTCTTCACGTCATAATTCAACCTTACCTTGAACTTCAACAATTTTCAGTTATTCAGTTGTGGGAATGATGGCAAAGTGCGCGTATGGGACGTCAATGTGTATTCCAAATATATCACGATGATTGAGAAGTAATAATTTCGTGAATATTTTTTTCATACCATAGAATATTTCTAGTCGTTATAGATTTTCGTAAATTGCGGTAATCATCATTTTGGATTTAACTTGTTTGGAAATTTTATTTCTCTTACGGAAATTTTTTGTTCAATGTTACCAGTAAAATAAAAAATAATACATATTCTTTTGTTTTACGATGATTGTTACTTAATTAATGAATAAATTTATAAAAATATATTTATATTTCTCTAAAGTTTTGCCATAACGAATGAAAACATTCCTCGAAGCATGTGCAAGAAGATGAAAAAGCAGCAAAATATCCTAATCACATCGTGCGACTTTTCATTTTCTGATCATTCGACGTTCGTTATCGGATCAGTTTCTGGGCTAATATTCTGTTGTTCAATCAATCCTAACTCAACAAACGGTTGGCTTATATTACGTACAAATGCACACAATAACACATACACACGCATTTTGGCATAAATTAATTTTTAAAATGACACACCCATGATCAACCTTACCCCAAATTTACTGAACACGAAAACAACTTCAGAAACTTGCTAGATACTTGATGTAACAATAAAATTTTTCACTGTTAATTTTTTTATCTCCACTTCTGGCAAAAAGATCTATTTAAGATTGTAATGTTGCCGTAGGTGGTGGTAGTTTGAAATCTGCGGTGACATTTGTGTACGAGGGCCACAACGCGCCTGTTCACTGCATCAACTTCTCCCCGCTCAACAAAAATTTATTTTCCAGCTGTTCTTACGATGGTTCCTTTGCTGTTTATTCTATCAAGCAAGTATAATTATACCTGGTTATATATTAGATTGTGTGTTATATATGGTTATTATATATGATGATACATATTACTTTTTGAATAAATTTATGTAGCGCCAACTGAAACGAACACCTGTTTGTGATATTTTTGCACATTTGTGTACTAATCTGCCAACCAAAAGTTACCCGAAAAATAACTTGCTGATGTGCATGAATAAATTTTTTAACATTTGCTGTAGCACAAATTTTGTTTTTATCAAAGAATCTCCCTTTGGTGCAGTTGGATGTTGGAGTAGGTTCTCTTTTTTCCATAAAATGGCTCCCACACGATCCAACTGTCCTGGCTATCAGCACGGAAGAAGGTTATTTATTTCTGGCAACACTTCAAGATTAAATTATTAAAGACAAAACATTTCAATCAAAAGGCTGTGTATTGTTTTATGAACTCTCTGAGTCTTATGTTTTATCTCTTGTGTCGAAAGTGAAGTTAAAAGATTCTAAACAAGTTTATGCTCTGTCATTCAGCGACAAAAGGTTTGTTAATGCTTTACCGTTGTATTGTAAAATATTTAAATTTAAAATCTAATGATATTTATAAAAAATAAATGCGTGATACAATTTAAAAATGCCTAGAACGAGTTAGTTATTTTGAGGGACCCAGCTTCGGGAAAATTGTTATTTTATTTTAACGTCGACATTTTAATTAAACGGTTTCGCAAATGTTCTTCCCATGTTCTATCTGGATAATGTTCTACTGTTCCTCTTGGCTTTCAGAAAAAATACTACAAGCATACAGCGTTTCATAATGTCCTACCTCGGGGGAACTGTCTCTGGACGCTAAACGAAGATTGATTGATTGATTGATTGATTGATTGATTGATTGACTGACTGACTGACTGACTGGCTGGCTGGCTGACTGACTGACTGACTGACTGACTGACTGACTGACTGACTGACTGATTGATTGATTGATTGATTGATTGATTGATTGATTGATTGATTGATTGATTGATTGATTGATACAGTGTTTCATAACCAAATCACACAAAATCGTCGGTTTTTTTTAGACTGTTCAATTGGATAAACAGTTTTTGAAGAAATTCTAAAACAATATATATCCGTGCGTGCGAACTTAATAAACTTTTTAGTTTACACGAAAACTCTAAAAAAAGTATTTATTTAAACAGAGATATTGTTTTTTCAGTCGACATTTATGCATCGGCGATGATAAAGGAATCTGTCATTTTTTGACGGTAAATGAAAAATTATCAACAAATGGTTTTGCGTTTGTTTCATCTTCGTGACTGATACACAACAATGAGAAAAGTATTTTATCTTTATTATTTGAATAAATGTTTGATTTTATTTCATACTGTATAATGTTTAGAACTCTGTATCAAATTTTGATGCAATTAAACTCAATTTATTTTTAAAAAAAATCCGGCAAGAGGTTTGGTGGCCCGATTTATGCCCTCATAACATGCGTTAACGTGTAGCAACAATTATTACTATTTAACTTTCCCTTGAATGAATTTCATACTTCACAGATTAAGATTAAATTTTTGTTAACATTTGAAAATTCACAAGAATTTGTTTAGTCGTCGGCAAAACCATTGTCAAAATGTGCGAATTGCTTACTTTCATCATAACCAATAGTTCACATGCTGGTTATCTTTCTCTTACGAATTTTAAAAATTTATAAAATACAATGCTTGTTATCATTGTTCACAATTTTTTTACTAACCTTATCTAAATCTTGTTAAGTTTTTTTTTAATAGTCCATTCTTTTCTTGGCGATCCTACTCTTCCCCTTCTATTTACTTTAGTTTTATCTAGTATTGATCATTGTAACTCGCTATACTATGGCCTTCCTGATTATACTTTCTGTCCTTTAAATAATGCTCAAAAACTGGAAACTCTGGTGCTCGTCTAACTGGCAGCTAATTGCTCGAGTCCCTTTCTTTTCTCACATATCTCCATATCTTGTTCTCTTGCACTGGCTACCTATAAAATATAGAATAATTTTTAAAATTTGCACATTTATGTTATAAGTCTCAATCTAAATTATTTCCTTAGTACTTATGAGATATAATAATTGGACCTAAACGTGCCGGTTTACGATCGTCTTCTTGTTCTCAATTCTTCTTAACTCGTGTTAAAAACTCTTTTGCTAAATCTGCATTTGCTTTTTTTGACCCTTTTCTCTGGAACTCTTACCTCCTTTTCTGACTACTTCTCCATTACTTACGAAATTTTGAGCGTATCTCAAGAAAGACCCATCTGTTTGCAAAATTCATTGAGGATCGCTGTTGAACATCGCGGAAATAACGCTTTATAAGCTAATTGGGAAAGAAGAGAAGACTGATGCGCCAAACAATCTTTATTTCTTAGCTGCTTAATCATTCCCGATATTGTCTTCAGTTTGGTATCATGTCAACTCCTAATAAAGATATCCTCTCACCCAATAATAAATATGTATGAATTGTAGGTGTAGTGCAAGCCCAATCATTTTTTAACTCTTTTCGAAAAATATCGTCAAAGAGCAAATTCCAAAAATTATTTCTCGCTAACATTTATTTGAATGTTGAAATCAATTAAGTTTTTTCAAAAACCTCATTATTTTTACGATTTTTAACAACACAAATTTATTTACGACTATCCCTTTCAGCTTCACATTAAATTTTAGAACGTTACAAAAAAATGTCTAACGATCATATGCTGATAAAAACTATCGGACTATTTTTATAAATTATGTTAAATGGTATATAAAAAAAATAATTATAATAATATAAAATATACAAACTGTTGAACTTTCATAAAATTTTATTTACAGATGGTATAATTAAGAAAGACAATTAAACAATTATAATGATATAAAATATAAAAATGTGCAATCATGCCCCAGGAATTTCTTCATATAAAAGAGTAAAACCTTTACGATAAAAACAATAGTGCTGTAAGAAAAATATTATATCAAAAATTATAGAAAACAATCCTAGTCCAAATTTGGTGGGTGATCCAAAAAGTGAAGACCAATCATCTGCAAAAGTTTGAAAAAGTTTTGAACAATGATTTATTAACCGAGATTAACAAATACACAAAATTGTTATAATTGAGTAATAATAAATTATTGTTGTAACGACAATGTTCAATTTTTAAAGTAAGCAATAGTTTACTAATATATTACGTGCAATTCACATTTTCATTTGTGAGAGCACAAATTGATATATCCAGTGAATTGTATGTTCAGTATAGTTGAGTAAACGAATCTAAACATTACTTGGCGAACATGTGCAGCTCAAGTTTATAAAATTACAAGCCAAATTAATAAAATAACAAGCGTATACGCTAGTTCCGTCCGACATGCCAAAATGTTAGGGCCAGCATTGCGAACAAAGGGCAGGTAAAACAAAGATGCTTTGTTAGAAACAACGGTGAAAATGAAAGAATAACAATATAAAAAAATATCATTTGTTGGAGACCTAACAAATGATCTCGAATTTTAACATATTTGACTGTGAAGACAAACAAAAAATACCATTGTTATAGGCAATAAGAAACATCTGAAGCAAACTGAAACATCCGCCAGTGAAATCCAGCATTACGTTCCCTATACTCCAGCCTTCCGTACTTTTTCTTCTGAAATTCATCCAAGCCTATCAAGCAAATATATTGTACATGGCAACTTGATGGCAACTAGCAATATGATGGCAACTTTTTGCAAAACATAACGGTTTAAAATTAACGTTTATGATTACTAATATAATATAATTTTTTAATAGGCGCTGTTTTTAAAAATAAGCTTCCATTAAAAACAATTCGACAAGAAATGAGCACCTGTGGAAAATATTTCACCAAAGTGATTGCAAGTTTAATGTAGGAGAAGATGTAGATGTAAGTGAGCCATGATATCAAACCAGCCATTGAAACAAACAAGAAGAGTCCTGCTGTTGCCCAGGACAGCAGAAGACAAACACTTCCCAGCGTGGAGATCTTCTGTGATGTCTTCTACGAAAATTAATAATGTTTTCTGAATACAAAATATTCTTTAAACAGAAAATATTAACTGAATCAATAACGCCATCTGAATGAGAATTATTATTTGAATGAAAATTGATGATAATACCTGAAAATTATCTCACATTAAAAATTTCAGATATATTTACAATATCTTTTGGCTATTAAAATATAAGCTAAGAACGTAAACTGGAATTTAAATTCGCTTGAATATTTTAATGTTAATTTAAGGACGAAAGAAGCAAAATCATAAAAAAACAATTGAGAAATAAACAATTCTTATTTCCTTAAGTTGAGCAGTTGAAATGTTTGGCTCAGAGTACAGACCTTGTAGAGGAGGCATTGGAGTACAGTGACAGACGTTAAAACGATGGCGTGTAATGCAAAGGCGATGTCATTGGCTTCAACAGGGTTGACTCCTCTGGGATGCAGTGCAAAATATTCATCCTGAATAGAAGCAATAATGACGTGTTGAAATTTTTGACACATTAGTAGAAAAATCCAAAAAACGTAAAAAAAAACTTGATAAGATTACAACAAAATTTTAAAATAAGAAGTAGATATTAAGCAACACAAACAATCACACATGAGCAAATATAATTTGCCTGTGTGCAGGTCATAGTTGCAACTTTCAGGGCATCTACATCTGCTGCTTCGGCACCATCACCACAGAATTTTGAAATTTGAGGCGTGTTTGAATTTGTGAATAGCATTTGACTTGGAAAGAAAAAGTGTACAGATCGTCAGCCTCACTATTTTATCTTGGCTCATCTGCATCCAGTAACAGGAAGACTGGCGATAGATGAGGATGCAGCAAATGGACAGTAAATCAATAAATGTGCTCGTGCGTACGTCTGACTGCATCGCTTGCGTTTTAGAGCACTTGTTGCGCACGCCAATCTACCCGTTGGACCGTCGTCGTTTGGGTCTACCATGCAAATTATTGTCCGGTCAGAGTCTTCATATGTAAGGAAAAAAGCCCTGATGGTACATAAATGGTTGTTTTTAAAGAGACTTTCCTCTAACCACCCAGATATTTGCCAACAGAAGAGCAGATGCGAAATCTGCATATCCGGCATGTGTATGATGATATGTGCATGATGTAAGGTACGACAGCCAGCATTTGATATTTACCAAGTTTGAATGTGGCATGGTGGATCTAGTATAGCAATTTTTAGCATTCTCACTTATCACACCTAACTTCCATAACAAAACTGCAAGTCACTATTGAAAGTGTAACTGTTACTAAAAAACAATAAAAGGAATAAAAAAGCAGTGTTTCAATATTTACGGATCAATATAATAAATGATATTAAAATACATGAAAAATTTGCTATACTTGAATTTCAGGTATCCAAAATAATGCGACGTTAAATAGTCCATAGCACAAGAATCCAGTAAGATTCAAAAACACAAAATCAAAACTCAGCCCCACCACACTGCAAAATATTTAAATTTTATGTTAATTTAATCTTTTTGTATGCTTCATAACTACAATTTACTCAAACAAAACAGTTTTTATGGATTACTATAGCTCTTTCATATTAACTGCCTCAACACCCTGAACCATCTTCTCCTTCAAATCTGTCAATTTCACCATTCTCATTAACTTAAATCAACCACATTACCTGACATCTAACTTAGTGTTTTACTTCTACTGGGCTTTCCAATTAAATCATTACCAAATAAATAGAAGTTTGAGTCAAAAATAGGCTTTTAAAAAAATAATGGCAGGATAAATATTGTGCACTGCCAAAGCAGTTCCTCATTTAGTTTTTAACATTTGAGATGGGCAGGCATGAACTTATTTTGTGCTGTTTTTCTCCCAATCTTCTCGACGTCATCAAGTCTATATTGTTCTTATCAAAATTTTCAGTAAGAATTGTTAAAATTAAAAAAAAATTTAGACTGAAACCTTTTGCGTCTAAAATTTGTAATGACTTGAGGATAAAAGGAAATTGACCAGGCAAAAAAATATATCCATCCAATTATTTTCTGAATCAATATTATTTCTTTATGATGGACCACTGTGACTTGCAGAAGAACTCTATCAAACCTGGGGATAAAACAATAAATTTTTAAAATATAAAAAACTTTACTGAAAAATATTTTCATCCATTTCAGACAATTTCTCAATCAACAGCCATTAGGTTATTTTGTAATATGTTATGTTACGTTATGTTATAATGCGCTAAGCGATGTTCTTGTAGCAAAGTGCGTACAATTTATACTATTAATTCCAAAGACTTCTTCAGTTGTTGATATCAAATGAAAGTTTAAAATTATAATACATAATGGTAAACAGCGGAAAAATTTAAAAAGGATATACAAAGTCAATATATTATTGTTATTTATATAATACTAATGATAATATGATCACTTAGTGCCATATGCACCACCACTTTAGAGATACCAAGGCCTAGGTAGGTACTCATTTTGAAAAGTTGAGTTTTTAAAATTTATTTTCAATTGATACGATGAAGACAATGCACGATAGATACTATAATATGAAGAGTGTTGCACAATTCTGAGTCAATATATAAGGTTTACTTAAAATGGGAATAATAAAATCAACTCAAAAACAATTAACAATCTTAGAAAATTTCAAATTCAGCCATAAAAATTTTGGTCAAAAATGCAAGAAAATTCTGACATATAAACCTCAAGTTAGGCTCTCCAATTGACTCTAGACCCAGAGTTATCTGCCCAATGTTTACACCTGTTATATTCAATTCAACTGTCGAAGCATTTTCTATAGAAATGTTTGGTAATAACTTTATGATTTCAACATCTTCAAATTTTTTGACAACACCGTCAGGACCAGCATAGTTAAATGCTAAGTTGACAGTGTTGTTAATTTCCTTCCTTTTAAAAATAATAAATCAATTTCTCAAAAAATCAATTTTTAAATTTGTTGTGATTGGAGTATAAATTATAAAAATAGGAATTCAAGTCAAAACATTGTACACCTTCTAGAAATAGACAACTGCCATATTATTTTGATTTGTACGAATAAATTTTATGAACAAAAATATTTCAAATAATAATCAGTATGAAGTTTTTCAACAGATAACTTTGCATATATAATTTAATTTCATAATAACTACAAATATGACGTCACACAGGAATCTGAGGTACTAAACATGACATCACTTAACATGTATAAGCCATCATATAATTTTTAAGTCATGATATTTTTAAGACATCATGTACCTGAATTTAAGAGTAACGAAGGAAGTAGCATTTATTTCTAACTGAATGTTATTTGGAATGAATTCTGCAATGATTTCATCTGTTGATAAAATTAAATTGGTAAACATGGTGTTCAAAATAAAGATTAGAGTAAAAACTGAACAAATATAAAATGGGATTTTTTATACCAAATTAATATTGATTCTACAATAGGTGTGACAGATTTGGGCAAGTTTTATGCATCTAGCAAAATCTTGGCATGAAAATGAATGAAAGAAAACTCATTTTAGCACTGGAGGATAATGAAAAATAAAAAATTAAGACTAGTTAAAACAAAAAGTAAAATTTATTAGTTAATGGTCTAATTGATTTTTATAATATAAACGGTAAATGCTGCATTACGGTACTTTATCATTTGCTAGTGAAAATTTTATTACCACCATCAGGTCAGAATCATTTACTTTACATATGTTTTAAATTTAAAAAGTTGAACTATTTTATGAAAGATAAAGAAAAAAAGATAAATTTTGAAAAGGCAAAAATAAAGGTAAAATGTGTAAGTTTTTTAACATGAATTCATTCAATCAATCTTCATTTAGCGTCTAAAAACCCAGTTCCCCCGAGCTAGGACGTGAATTAACATGAATTCAAACAGCTTATAAATCTCAATACATACGCACATTTGTCATAATTACCAATTGTTACAATCATGTGATCGGCAGTTTTCATCGTAAATGTAACTCTTGTAGTTAAAAGTAGTCAGAGATCTACCTTGGCATTGGGATAGATGCATATCATATGCCCTCACCTAACACCATATATATAATTGTAGTAATAAATTTGTAAGCAATGTAAATGTTGTTTTGCTACAGTTGTATTTTTATTTCAATGAAAAAGTTAAAAGTAGAAAACAAATATTAGTTGTAAAATTTACAACAATCAAATTTAAATACAATGTAAATCTTTATTTTTAAATCATTAAAAATTAAATGCAACAGTATGTCAGTATAATAAATGAGTATATAAAAAAAAAATAAACCCTTCACCCAAGACAGATCTAACTTTAATAATAATTTTTCATTTTATTTCAATTCTTAATTACATAAAATAAACTTTAATTAATAATTATTTATTTAACAAATTTTAATTTTAAAATTTGAATATAAAAATTATAAAAAATTCACAATTCAGCAACCTTCTTTTGCGCTTCCCGCACCCAATAACAATAAAAGCCTGACGATCACAAACACAATAGCAATCATGATTTTAAACGATTAATACAATTGCAGGTAAAATAAATGAATTAAAAAAAATCATCACGAAAGAAATCATACATCCCTCGATTATAAGTAACGCGACATAACGTGCCTTACGTCAGTCTCTACAACAACATGATAAGCAATAATTGCGCTGTAAGATTGGAAAGCCAAACAGTTCTGCTAAAATAAAAACATATGCCAATCCACTACTGGTAAATAATAAAAGGTACCATTATATTTTATTTATAATTTAAGGAAATTAATTTTAATTATTTGAGTAATCTGATATGGTTTGACCAGCGGAAATTTTCATGTTAATTAATTAAAAAATATTATCAAGCGACTTATTTTTGGCAAGTTAATTATTCAAGTTGCTTAATAAAATATAAAAATGTGTTTGATGTCGTTTCCTGTTTTCCGCAAAACCTGCAATAAAAGAAACACCAAAACTGCATGTTGCAACAGTCATAATTCATTCATAATGGCTCTGCCCGCGGTTGATTTCACGTTTAACTTTATTTCAAAATAGTTTTTTCTATCCATTGCATATACTTAAATTTGAAATATGTTTTCGTTACCAAATTTCATTATCTTATTTTACAAAACAATGTCACATGAATCGATTTTATAGAAAACCAAAAAAATTTTTCACGACAAAAATATTTAACTATGATCATTTGACGATAACAGTTATTATTAATGTGCATGGAGTTTTAGTATAGAAATTAAACTATGACTTATGAACTTACTGTTAACAACACAAACATCCACAGTCAATTTTCAACTGCTAATGATTTCGTCAATAAAATTAAATGCATTGCATAATGCCGCTCTCATTTCTAAAAGAGTTTATAATCATTCACAATATTCAACATGGAACTTCACTAGGTGTCATGTCAACTTGTTTGATGTGGGTTACTCCACCTTCCCTTTTGTCAAATTTTTAATCCTCTTCCCTTTCAAATCATGACATCTTTTATGATCACCCTCCAAGATTTGAAACCGTCGTTCGCTTACCAGAAGCAACCTGGTCAGCCTCCAACCAGCTACCAATCTCTGCCGCCTACACGTATTTAATTTCGCGCATTTATAAAACAAACGACTCTTCAGATCCACTCAATTTAACATGTGACAAAGCCTTGGCCAGCAAATACTATTTGAAAATGTTTTTTATTACAAACGTAAAATTATATAATATGTTTGCCATTAAGACTTGTTTTTAAATCTCTATCCTTTCGACATTAACGTCGGTGAGATAGCTCAGTCGGTGTACAAGCACTTTTTCGCGTTATTAACGCGCTGTGACCTGGTTCAAACACTATATCTTCGGAACTCAAAGACTGTCATACGCACGAGAGATGATGCGGTGCTCGCACGTGTATACCAACCATATGTTACTTCGTGTGGTGTGGAGGTTATAGGCATTGTGGCACCAAAGTTCAGTTATAATTACAGCTCTTTAAGCAGTTCTGCCTATGGTAAAGATGTATAAAAAAGAAATAAAAAATTAAAAAACACTTTGTGTAAGAATAAAATATAACAAGCAAACAACTACAATGAAATGACTAGAACAATTCGAATGTCAAGATGCAGTGATTGTACGTCTAGCGAAATATACAAAATCTCTAAATCAATCCTAAAGTACGCAATTACCACAACAGTCATGTCGTATATAAACACAAACACACTTATATAAGAAACAAATGCAATTTGTAACATAAAAAATTTGAAAGTCTGGAAAAACACTATTTTACACTAATCACTAATGGTATATAACATTATTTCAGCGGTTAAACTGACTACTGCTGATCAAGGCACCTCGAAACATCTTCTTTCATTGGCATAAAGTGAGGAGGCTGATAAATTGAGGGTAACGATCATGGGGTAACCTACTGACCAGACCAGCCCGACGTTTGAAACTGCTTGCGCCGTCAACAATGTTGTCAATAAAGTTCTCGTTTTCGTCACTCAGGAACCATCCCGTCACGAACAATCGGTAGCTTAATTTTTGATTGAATACGATTTCTTCAGGAGTAACGCCGTCACTCCATTCCATCAAGATTATAATTTTTTTTAACGAGTAAAAATAAATAGTAAACTTTGTTTCATTTTCTTGCTCCAAGTTCAGCTTACATTTGCCGGTCTATCAGCCGAGAAATTGTTCTTCACGGCCCATCCTGTCATCCACAGACATGTCTCTATTGACTTCACTAACAATGATCTATATATTATGCCATTCGACTACTTTTATTGTCTAAAATTACACCAAGTACATTACATCGAACAACTTTTGACAAATATTTAACCTTGAAAACGTTTAGTACAATGCAAATTTTGCGTGCTGAATTAATTCATTTCAAGAAACTAAATCATATCTTTTGAAATATTTTGGTTTCAAATTAAACAAATTTTCATTTTGTAGACAAATTTAAATTCAACATAAATTGCTTTTGATCACGCAGATACTGAAAAATAAAACAATGTAAAATAATTTACAACTATATCTTTTAAATTGAATAAAACTGAACAAAACGTCAAAACCTAAGTGTTAACAGCCATGATTTTTAACAGATGGTGAAAAGACATTTAATAATTTAATCATGATAGTTACTCTTGGATAATCATTTATATTGAATACAAAATTTAGTAGTTTCGCATGAAGGTTGATTGAAGTTTGGCTCAGCACACAGGTGATCAATAAATGATTGATGACAATGACAAAGCGTACAAAATGGAACTTATTATTATCAAACGTCTGTAGCTTCCTTCTCATGACCTTTTAATCTAAGCCGTGCAAAATCTTCAAATATGATGTCATCACACGAGTTAGGTTCACTGAAATAATTCATACATAATTAATTTAACTTAAAAAATAACAAAAACAAATATATGAAGCAAATGCATTTGAATAGGAATAAACTGGCATAGCCGAACATCATAGGTCTAGAGTTATTGAGAGAGAACGAATCACATCCGTACATAATATCTCTAGATCATTTTTGTGTTAGGAACTGAAACTAAAACCGCACGAAGAAGAACGGACCGTTAGCGGAACTTTCAAACTATTTCAAAACCGTTTAAGTGTTTATAGCTACAATGAAAAAATATGCTGTTAAGCAAAAAAAAAAACTTACTCCTGATCAAAGTTGATGAGATTTTTCTCAACAACTTCAGCTCCTTCACTTTTTTGGTTGGATGATTGTGGTCGACTGACGACAGGAGATGCATCAATAGGTTTCGGATGGGTTAAAGTGAAGGGCAGCTCAACTGAAAGATCACTGAAACAAGAAGAAAATATTTATAAATATTTGTGAACAATAATAAAAAAAAGATTACAAGAAAAGAAACAATTAAAAGAGGAATATAACTTAAGTTTAAAAATTAAAGATAAAATTAATAAATGACCAACTGATACGAACCTGGAAGTGAAACCAAGTATCAGCCTGACCTTTACTTTATACTGGACTACTATTCCGAGATTTTCTTTTTGACTGTTGGATGTGATACTGAATGTGAAGGATTCAATTTTTAAAATTCACATCATATTTTTATGAACGCAGATCTCAATCTATTTTGTTGCAACTGATCAAAAGAGCCAATAAACAAGCTACAAATAACTTTGAAATGTTTTATAAGTTCGTTTCAAAACCTTGCCAAAGAGAAAAATTCATAAATTTGAAAAAAAATCGGATCAGAACATTAAGTGCTATAAATATGAATATAAATACATAAACACAAATTCAAAATCATAAATATGTTGAATCTACTGACAGTGATAATAAGAAGATTATGCTGCCAATTATGAAAACAATGAAAAAATATGATTGTTGTCGAACAAATACAGAGCCCTTTACAAAGCTTTTGAAAATGAAGAAACAAAATAAAATAATCATGTGAATCAAGTTCAAGAACTATAAAAATTGAAACAAATGATTAAAACCTGCTATAATTGATTGATAAATAATTATAAACTGTGCAAAAACTGACATAGTTGATGATGCCAAGTTGGTGTCTTCGTGCTTCAACTTGCCATCAAGTGCTAGCCCCCTTTTATCCCGATTGTTGCTTAAAATTGGTGTCAATTGATAAACTTTACAGAAACCTGTCTGACTTGGGTGGATTGGAAAGCCTTCTCTGAAAGTTTCATCATTTACATAAATTGAATGTTTATGTAACTTAAAGTTGGCCATTTCAAATGTAGATGAAACATCATTATCTATAAATTATCATTCTTTTCATTCACAAACGAAAGTAACGGTAAGAATTGAAAACAAGTTTATTTTTTAAATTTATCCAAATTAATCACTGAGAATGTATAAAATTCACGTAAATTATGTTGAGGATGAAATAATCACCGGGACGAAAATTGAAATTAAAATAGAAGTATCTTGATAATAAAAAAAATTAATTTAATGTTTCAGACAGAAATATTATAGATGTACGAACTCGCTGTCTATCTCTGCGACATTGCACTTGTACTGCGCCGTCGAAAAGAGGCATATATCAGCGTACTGTCGAACTGAAAACATTTCAAAAAAACGATATTGCCATGATACAATGATTAATAACAATTAAATAATCAATTCCCGCCTAAATCAGAGGCAGGCCCAAAGAACATGGCATATCATTATGACCTATACCACAGAAAAAGTTGAAAATGTGAACTATGCACACAACATGAGTGCAATGCACACGCACACACACAAAAACACACACACACACACAAGCAGACTTGAAGTAGAATGGTCTCAAGTTCTGAAACCTAACATTGAAATTTTTTTAATTTTGCAAGAGTAGATCCAAGAAGCATTTTTTGAAAAAACAGCTAACAACAGATAGTTGGGCCCATTCAATCAATCAATCAATCAATCAATCTTCGTTTTGCGTCCAGAGACCCAGTTCCCCCGAGGTAGGACGTTGTTTTCTTTGCCATCAACTTTTTGCGCCAAATTAGACGATCAGTTGTATCCATTTCATTTAAATGGATACAAGTTTTAGTTGGGATTAGTTTTAGTTTAGATACAATTTAGTTGGGCCCATACATTAAACAGACAGACAGACAAAGAGTGAAGAACCTGACAGAAATGCCCTTATTATGTTCAACATGCCTTATGATGACTCTGCAAATGTGTACTGAATGTTATGAATGATCAAATACTTACCAGATATTTTAATTTTTTTAACAGATCTTCCAGCGTTGTTATCCACAAGTACATTCACAGTGATAGATTCTCCGTGATAATATTTCTGGAAAAATTTTTTTAGAAATTTTTAAAAATAAACTGCAATACTACAAAAAAAATTTATTATACAAAAATTACACTCAAGTTTTTTATTTACAATGTAAAAAATTTTTTTTTCACAATTACAATGCGTGGTTTCCCAACCGTTTACGTTTGAAACAGAGAAAACAATGCCTGCGAATGATTGCTGGTATCAGATGGGAAGACAAAATCTCAAACACAATGGCTCTGGCAAAGTGCAGTACAATGGGTATAGAATCGCTTCTGCTTCAAACTCAGTTTCATTGGATAAGGCATGTTATACATATGCCAGACACAAGAATTCCCAAGCAGGTCTTTTTTTGGTTAACTGTCAGGAAAGTGGCAAGGCAAGAAAAATATAAAAGATGTGGTTTAGACTCCAAGGCTCTTTGTGTTGATGCTCTGCGGCACTTGAACTGAAGGTCTACCCAGTCAGCAGTTTCCGCTTTTGAACTTGCAAGTACAGCTGCTCTCGTTGAAAAAAGATTCGACAAAAACCGACGGCCCTAAGTGGATCTGTTGAACATGTGCATGGAAATGTTCGTCAAGGATAGGACTTTTTGTTCATTCTAGGACTCATCGCTGACCCAAATCGTCGATTCGACGATGCACTCCATATATATATACATATATAAACAAAACAGTTGAACATTATAAAGAAAAAAGAAAAACCTCTTTATCAAGAGTGGCTTCTAATCTGAGGGTGCCAGATGACATGAGAAACTCCTTGACAGCCTCAGCACTTGGTTGAGGAGCAGGTTGTTCAGGAGCAAAGGTCAACTTCCTTATGGCAAGTTGTACTGAATTTCTTCTGTGAGGTTTCTCATCCGGTTCAGATGCGACGTAGGCTTTCAACTCATAATCAACACCACAGGGCTAAAAAATTAACTATTTCATATTTTCTAAAAATAAAAGATTATATAAAGCTTATGGAGATAAGCAAAAAATCACTACCAATAAAGTATTACATTTTATGTAAAGCAATCAAAAAAAAATAAATTAAAAAAAATAATGATAATGGTAAAAAGATAATGATGAAGCTACAGAAAATCATTTCAAAACTTTAAAATCTTTTGAAAAGAGATATTTAAATTTATAAAACATTTAAGTAAAGTTTATAGAGCCAATATCATGTGCCTTTAAAAGTTCAAGTGCATGGAATAAAACAAAAAGGCACATACCTTCCCCGTATCACCCGGTGCAGGCTGTAGTGTAACTGATGCTGGACTCGATGTCGGTATCTAAATGTTGTTAGGAGTCAATGTCAATTCAAATTTTAAAATATTCAAAATTCATTAAAATGTTTAACTAAAGCGAGTAAGCAAGTTGATAAATTTGTCCATATTTAGAATTTTCATATTCAATAATCCATACAGTTCTAAATTTTTACAGCTTACATTTATGAAGTTTCTCTGTCACTATGAAATCAATTTTTTTGTACTGAAAACAAAATTGTAACGTGAAGTGTATGTGACACATAAATAAATAAATCTAATGCTACTAAAAATTAAAAAGAGACCAACTTCAAAACAAAATGGAAAAGCATTAGGGCCTAATTTTTTTATTAGTCTTTCTTGCAGTCTGGTTAGACTTGGTGGTTTACTATGTGGTGGAGGATAAACTTGTTTTGTTGCCAGCAACAGATCCTTTCGAAATGTCAAACCCAGAACATCTAAATCTTCCCTACCATATCGAAATGCTGCCAAAATTTGAGCAAACACCTTTCTGTCCTTTAAATAATCTGGGTCAACCAGAACGACTCCATCTTTAATAAAAATATATTTTAAATCATTATTTCTTTTAAACCAATAAGTTTAATTAAATGTTTTTTAACAATTTTGTGTTAGAACTGTAATGCATACTGCATCGTAGATTAAATGTAATTTTATAATTTCATAAATTTAAAAATAAGCCAAAGTAAAACCTAATAGCTAAAATATTCACCTATAGGTTCAACATGATCTAGATAATCCATAAAATCTCTTTTACCAAGATACACTGTAATCTATAAAATGAATATCAATTTAAGTAACTTAACAAATTATAACAAAATAACTTAGACAAGCAAACTTTGCAATTTAATTAACTTAACAAATTATAACAAAATAACTTGGACAAACAAACTTTGCTATTTGGACAACTCTTTTTGAACACTCTAAAAAATAAAATTAGTACACATTTAAAAAGATCATGGTTGTCATTAAAGCAAAGATTTCAAAAAATGTGAATAGTCTAAAAAACCTTGTGCCAAGCTTTTTCTGTCCATCATTATCCACATCAGATAATCCATTGGAAGCTGCCATTCAAACAAGGATGTTATTCCTAAAATAATTAAATAATCATTAAATATTTTCTAGCTTAGAATCCAATTCTTTCTCAATTTATAAAAATATTGAAATATTATAGCAAAATACAGTGACAATTACTAAGAGCCAAAATAAGGCACTACCCCTGTCTTGCCTCCTTGGTGTGTCATATTATTAGACTAAAATTAGTCACATATTTATCTTTTAGTTTAGGCATATAGTAAATAGATTAATTAATTTAAATTTATGATTCCGTGATGCATAATATATAACATAATTATAAATAAATATTTATTTTATGTGTACTTGTAATAACAAATACATACAACATTAATAAAATTATTTTAAATATTTTATTATTAATCTGTTAATATATGTTATAAATAGGATAATATCACTATTTCTGAAATAGTATTTCAGAAAGTAGTATTAATTATCAAATTTAAAAAATTCAGTATTACCTAATAATGTAAAAATCTAATTTTATTTTAATTTCCCTGCCTCTACCAATAATTTACATTACAGTTGTACACTACACTAACTAAGACTTTATAAAATAAAATAAATCTATTCTATTATATACCTATACTTAATACTATACTGATATACTTACTCTCTATACTCTATAGTCTATAGCTACACAAATTTTAAAAAAAAGATTTGGAAAAATATTACCAAATATATTTTATTACTATCTTATGAAATAAATGTCCTTTTTAAATCTTTTTTATTATTTTTTTTCAGATTTACAATTTAGAATTAAAAAAAAACCAAACCCACCTAGCAGCCAAATTAAACAGCAAGAGACATTGTTACAGATCGAAAAAGCAATATTAAAAATTTTAAAACGACGTCTCCTTAACTGACAAACGCACAAACGCACATTAATAAATTAATAGCAGTAAAATCAAAATTATTTCCGTGTCGATACATACATTTTAATAACTTTAATAAACAGGCCTAATATACATATTGTTTGACAAAATGGCCGATTAAACCATTTTACGGATATAATTTTTTCGGTCTTTTAAATAATCATTAAAACCATTATATTCATACCATATAATTAGAATAAATATTCATACTAATCATACATAGACAACGTATATGTGAAATAAGGTGTTGAATGGAGACCAGATTTTAAATTAAACAGTATTGTTTGAATTTTACCATGATTGAAACTATATATCTTGATTTGACTAAATACAAAACATGTAATATTTCAACACAAAAATATAGTATTTCTTACTGCAATTAAGACAGGACGTTATCATAAGGGGTTTGTCAACAAACTTGAATTCAGAAATAAATAAAACATTCAAAACGAACAAGATGGGAGATTTTACTAAAAAAATTTAATGCCAAAATAGCATCTTACACGTGGAAGAATTTTCTGGATAAACGTGGCAGGCCACTGCAATGGTAGTGGCATGGGGCTACTAAACATTAATACACTTTAGATGCACTATGCTATCATTGTTAAATATCTGAATAGACAGATCATTAAAATCACAATAGTTATCTGGAAAACTGACTGCTGCAATGACTGTCGTTTGCTCATACCATCTGAAATGAAATTGCAATCTAAGCGAAGTGGATTTTCACGAAAAAGCAAGTTTGTTAAACGTTTTGATATAAAAAAGCTAAAAATTTTTTGACAAGCTTTAGATCATAGGCAAATTAATCACCAAATTATTTCTTTAAACCTAGCTGAGAGCAAAGCACTTAAAATGGTTTTATCCCGGATGGGACAAACGCTAATTGATAATTGATGTAGATGACGGTAAATGATGTTTGACATCGAAACAAAATGTGTTGAGGGTGAGGTGAAGCATCTAGGGGAGCGAATGATGATTTGCCAGAGAATCACCAAAAACCATCGAAAACTTAATTTTTATCTTTTCTAATGTGTTTTGAAAAATTCTTAAAGTAGATTATGTAGGGTGTGCCTGCAGTAGTTTAATATTTGCTTATACAAGAGTGCTTAGGTTAAGTGCTTCAAAAATTACAGATCTCCAATCTTTTAACCAAAAACGAGCTCACATTTTTTTTGCACTCTTACTTTCGCACCAATTTTGTGGCGACCTAGTTTACAGCGTCCCTGATATAATGAAACAAACAACAAAAACGAGCTCAAACTTTGTACTGATGTAGTTTAGAACGTTAACCATGCTCCGCCACGTCTTGACATATTTTTACACAATTTAATTTGGCAGTATGAATAAATATGTCGAAAACTTTATAAAGAAAAGTAAATAGATGCGAGTTACGGTGATGAAATTCATAAACTTTATTGATGAATTGTCTATTTAAACAATAATTTTTGTAGTCATAGTTAAATATTTATATTAAATATTTTGTAGTCATAGTTAACAATTTAAACCATTTTCAAAACGTTTGTTTCATTTAGGAAATAGGATGATTTGATAGTTTATAGATACACAAAATATTTAGTTGCATGAGCAATAAATATTTTCTCATAGATGACTCGTTTGTCGAGGGAGGTGGATGATTCTAGTTAAGTTACGAGCATTTCTTAAATGTTTAGAGGAAAGGAAACGTTGAAGATATTAAATAAATTAAACTTTTTGTCTTAAACGCTTTATAGAAAGCTTTATACAAGCCATTCCATCCGTATGAGATATTACGGTACATATTTTAATTAGCATGCATACGTACAAATGCCAAAAATTTTAATCATGAGACTTTGGTTTAAGACTTATTATAATTCATTTTCGAACTTTGTTCCTTCAGCTTGTCAACGTGACACACTACCTTTAAACTTTTCTTTAATTTATAAACTCATCAAAACTGATTTTAAACTTTTAGTTGCGGTTGAAAAATAAGATGGCCCATTCAGCCACGGTCGTTTTTGTCTCTCTCTTATTTGTTTTTGCGAACGTGAATGGTTTAAAGTGGAAAGTTTGTGATGGAGGTAAAGAAAATTTAATGTTTAATTGAAAAAATTAACACTGCGTTCAGATCGTTTTTTATTTTCGTTCAAGTGGCAACAAAAGCTGAAGTGAAACGAGTTGTGATTCCTGGCTGTGAGACAACCGACATATGCATACTGACAAGAGGACATAATGCTTCTTTCGAAATTGATTTTATTCCAAGTATTTACTATGTTCTTCTATCAATATATAACAATAATACAATAGTATTAATATGAATATTAACAAAGCGCCATACGCGTTTGCTGCTTCAGATGCACTCGCACTCGGAGCCTATGCACGCATTTTGAAATTGTTTTTGAATGTAATTCCTGTCAAAACGTCAATTTCGAAGACGTGTTCTCAAAACTGTGAGTCTGAGCTCTGTCAAAACTTATTTTCTTACAACAGCACATGACAAATATTGTAGTTTGAGTTTTTCTACAAATACATGCATTTTTAACGTACTACATATTTAGAGTCATTCATTTACTATTGTTTACAATAGTTCTAGTTTTTCGAACGGAGTCATTTTAAGTACTGTGAGAAACGCCAGTGGCGGATTTTTGGGGTAAAAGAAAATCTTGAAGATTCAGTGTGATAGAAGTCATCAAGTTAACATTTTAAAAATAATCTTTTACCGAAACAAGAATTAGCAACAAAAGAAAAAAGTCATCAATTTAATATTTTGAAAATTCTAAGAATTTTGGACCAGCCACTGCATTGCTATATTCACGTGTTATGCAAGTGTGTTAAATTAACTCAACAATGCGTTTATTTAGACAGATTTTACCTAAAAACAGTTGCTCACACCTGCCAACTTTATCTCTTTCCACCTCCAAATTTCCTACTTCTTATAAAAATTCTATTGTTATTCCCATTCTTAAAAACTCATCCTTAGATTCTACCTTTTCATCTAATTATAAACCTGTTACTATTATTACTTTCATCTCTAAAATAATAGAAAAAGTAGTTTTTAATCAATAGTCATCCTATTTAAACTCTAACTCATTGCTACCTGTATCTCAATCTGGTTTCAGACCTGCTCACAGTACTGAAACTTCTTTACTCAAAATACATAATGAGATCCTTCTCTCTAGTGACAATAGTAACCTTACTCTTCTTCTTGCTCTCGACATTTCCTCTGCTTTTACTGTTGATCATACTATTATTTTGAGGACAAAAGACATGTGCTTCTGTTATGCAGTCACCTGGTTCCAATGCAAATACACCTCCGCACATTATATAAACGAGTACCTTTTAATTTATAAATTTAGCTTATTATTTTTTTGATAACAGGTGAAACTGTCAGCAGTGCCACAGCTGTTGTTCATGGAATTATAGACCACATTCCAGTTCCATTTGGAATTGATAATCCAAACGCTTGCGTAAAATCCGGTTTAACATGCCCGTTGGAAGCTGGAAAGTTTTACACTTACACAACAACTTTGTTTATCAAGGAGCAGTACCCCGCGGTATTACTTTTCAATCCCTTTAGTTGTTACTTTTTGCTTTTATTTACAATTGATTGCTGTAATTCTCACACTTAATAGAACATTGCTACTAAAGCTTTCAACTCTTAAATCGGCAGCCTAAAGAATATAGAAAACTTTTAAATATATTTATGTCATTTAATTCGTTTTCTTTAATAAAATTCAGAACAGATCTCAAAACCCAATTTCAAAATTCATCTACTCGTTCATGTAACGCCATTCAACGAGAACCTTTATTTTCACATGTTGATTTAATAATAGTCAATTGAAAGATTGATTGAATGATTTTCAAATTGTTTTTTTTTGAAATATCCATGCAGCTAAGACTCATCGTGAAGTGGGAGTTACAAGATTCTGCAAAAAAGGATATACTTTGTATATTACTTGGAGCTGAAATAAGATAAATTTATAAGATATCAATTGTAGTGTACTATTTACTATGAAAATAATAATTTTACTATTTCTAGCATTTGAATAATAATAAATTTTTACGTGAGTTATGATCATTATTCATATTTATAAAAAAATTTAAATATGACCAGATAATAATTATTAATCTTTCTCGATGTGCATCATTTATGATAAATAAACTATAAAAATATAAATGTTTATTAAACGGGTTTATGCAGGGCAGTGTCGATTCAGATGTGCGAGAGAGCACCTTCTCTCCAACAGTCAAAAATGTGATTTCTTTTATTTCGTTTTTCAGTGGATTAAAAAAATTTTTTTCAAAAATTGGTTTAATTCAGAATCTCATTTTTACTATGTTTTAGCAATTATTGTCGGTTTAGAGTCAGGATAATTAAAAAACAATTTGTATGTTGGATTTGATTAACATTAGGTTGTCAAAATTCAGAATACACAATACATATTAAAACTTTTGGAAATATTATTGTCATCAACATCACTGTTGCTTAAAGAACTCTTTTACCAAATCAATTTTAGTTTTCTAAGTTTTAAAAGATGTTTTGGGAAAACATTACCTATTAGCTTGTTTTTTCAAAAGATGAAATTGCAAAAATTTTGTCAATAGGAATACACCCACAATTGCTTTTGTTCTTTATTTAATAAGCATGTCTTTATTTAGCTGAAAAATGTGTGTGTGTGTGTATTGCTAAAAATGACAACTTATTTTCAGAGATGTTAGGATGTTACTAAAGGAGAAAGAAAGGTGATGGCGGATTAAGATGAACCTGTAGGGGCTATATTTTTTAATTATTCATTAAAAATTTAGAATCAGGCGGACAAGTAATCTGTTACTACGTGACATACATATTGACCTTATAGTGGTGGATTGATTTAGTTTAATATTTACAATTGGTAGAAAAATAATAACTAATTTAAAAAATAAATATGAATAAAACGCCATTCGAACATGAGCTGTTATTATTTTTGTTGAAATATTTTATTAAAAATACTATAAGCTTACATTTACAGTTTTGAATTTTTACAATTAAATTTTATTCGACTGTTCAATACTAATAATAATATAATACTGCTTAATTACAATAAATTTACATTTTAATTACAATTAATTCACAACTTTATTACAATTATTTTACATTTTATTTAAAATTACCCCCGTACAACTGAATAACGTTGATATAACCTTCCATCTAAAATTCTTACATTTAGCCATCTTCACGTTTTCCACCCTTGTTTTATTAGTAATTCAGAAGAAAATTAGCATATATCAATAGTATTGCTTGCTATGACAATCACCTAGGCTTACTTGCACGTAGACCAGTTTGTGTATTTTGGCAGTCTTATAATCTGTGACAACAACTGTACCAAAGCTAAAAAAAATTGACAAAAGGATAGCCCATGGAATGTTCGCATCATTGAAGGAAATATGGAAAAGTGGGAATATATCTATAAAAACAAAGTTGAAAATGATAGAACCTTGCGTTTTTCCGAGCTTGCTCTATGCATGTGAGACATGGAAAATAAAAAAAAAAAGACAAAGACAGATTGGAAACATTTGAGATGAAGTGTTACCAAAATTTGTTGGGAATCAGTTGGAGGCAGAAAGAAGTAAAAAAATGAAACCATCAGAAATCAACTTGGAAGACAGAAAAGTGTATGTGACAAAGTCAGAAAAAAAAAATTGGAATTTTTTGGACACATTTGTAGAATGAGAGAAGACAGATTGATTAAGATGGTACTAATGAGGAAAGAGATTGAAAGAAAAAAGTTGGTGGACTTGCAAAGAAATGGATAGATGACATTATTGAATGGACTGGTGTTGGTATTCTGAATTCAATAAAACTGGCCAAAAATAGAAAAGGTTTTTGAAAAGGAAAAAATAAAAACAACAAGCATGCTTAGATGTATACCATCGGCCTCGACGGTCATTCGATGGACAAAGAAGGATCATTGATTGATTGATAATCCAATATATATATATATAAATTATAGACATTTTATATAATTATATATAGAGAGAGAGAGACAAAGAGACCCATCTAATTATAACAGGCCTTCAGTTGTGATGCTTCACGATTTTAATTAATAACATATATATATAATGTTATATTCTATATATATGGTTGATAATAAGAAAACTTTTTTAAAAACCTTGACTATTTTTACGGACTTTTTTTATCTTTGTTATTAACTACAGCGTTTTGAGTTATGTTTTGATAGTTATATAACGGCCTTCGCTCATTTTTGACGGTCAAACAAGGAGCTTACTTCCGGAGGGAAATTGGAGGGTGATTTTTTATCGCCCAAGTCAAAAGTTACGATCGTATATTTACTAATTTCGAGATATTGCTTTTATTTAAAATTTCAAAATGTTTTAAAAGGTGATACTAGATGCTTTTAGGATAGATATTGCTGTATAACGGTTAAGTATCTTTTTGCATTTTAAATAAAAAAAATTTTTTGTGAACCACCAACAACACTTAATTAACTCATTAACTGTAACAACACTAAACGACGACTAATTAGTAATTAAATTACTAAATTCTAATAATTAAGCTAAAACTAAACTCTACTGATTCTAATTACTAATTGAAATAAATAGCAGATAACACTAACGAACATTAACAGATTAGACTACTAGAAACTACCAACCACTACACTGCTACATACTACTACTACACTAAGGACTAACAGCACTTGTTCCTAAGATCCTAAATTCTATTGCTTGATTGGTTTTAAAATTTTTATTTACAATGCTTAGGTCTGGGAATAAAAAATATATTATAGCAGGTCGCACGATTTTTAAAAAATTTTTTTAATATATAAACTACTTTTTCTTATAAAGCAAAATTTGCTGATTAAAATACTAAATTTATTATTGTAGCATTTATAGTTACCGAGAAAACGAATTTTGAAAGAATTATTTTTACTTTCAACTTGCGCCATGTTAAGAGTGGCGCTCAATGTTAAGTGAGCATTGAGCGTTATATTCGCGCACAAGACGTGAAAAGAACGATTTAAAATTGAACACAACACAATTTTTTCTTCTTGTTTTTATAACAGCTGTAAAATAAGAAAATAATAATTATGAATAATTTATATTTATTATAAAATTTAATTATAAATGATTAATTATAATTATAAAATAATTATATATATCCATAATTTATATATATTAAATATAAATTAAAATTTAATAATCATAATCATATTGCAATGGTATTTATAATTTTATATTATATAATATATTATAATTTATATTTAAATATAATTCATTTATAATTATATATTATTATATGATTATTATATTATTATGATATATTGATTATTATATTATTATCATAATTATTATATTTCATTATATGATTATAAAACTTAATAATAATAATCATATTACACACACACGCACGCACGCACAATCACACAATTATAAAATTAACAAAATTTATCATACAATGATTTTTCATCAGGTGAAGAATTCCAGGTCTCCATTGATCAGGTCTGTTATGAGACTTTCTACTGGTAACTTGTGGTCTTCAGCAGATTCTTCGTCTACCTCCCAGTAGCTGATGGTGAACGTGTCTTTTTTCTTCTTCTTCCTGTCTTGAATCCTGCCAATGAACCTAGATTCCTCTTTCTCACCCATGGACCATTTGTGGTAGAGAAGTTTGCCTATCAATTGTCTTCCAGCAAGGATGTCGTCAAGAAAGACTTTTTGCTGTTTATCAAGGCTGGCAAATAATGGATCATTAGAATTTCCATTATTAATCAACAACTTGAGGACTGCATGTTCAGTCTTCTTGCGGTCTTTGTCCTCGGTTTTTTGACTAAGTTGTCTTCTTCTTTCCAGGATGGCAAGGTCAGTCTGCCTCTCAGTGTCTTTGGAGATGTGCCGAACCTTTGCACCCCTTGTAATGGCAAACTTGATGATTTTGTTTTGCTCCTGCTCCGATTTGGCATCCAACCAATCCATGGTGTGGTTCATCTTTGCCTTCACTTTTGCATCTACAAAACCTATGGTGGCATAAGGTGATTTTCTTATGAAAAAATCAGACAAGCCAAGGGTTCTTTCCGCATGGATGTTGTGAGGAGGTGCTGAGCTGGTGTCTGCAATCATCTGAGGAGCAGGGTTAGACAACTCTCCAGTGAGGTAGTTTCCCATCTGTCTCTCCATGACCTCTATGACACTTTGCATAAGAGAGATCAAAAGTTTATATAACATATCATTGTTATACACTTTGTTCATCAGAGACAAGTGCACATCATCTTCTTCAAGAGGGTGACCAAACACATCAGTTTTCATCAGCATAACTTCTGCTGGGTGGTGTAGCACCCCCTCAATCACTGACTTGCCCAATTGAAAAACAGAGCCCTAGGATCAAGTTTATTATGATCAAACGGTGTCAATACTTTATAAAAAGAACAATGCTTATGTTGTAATAAACAAAAAAATAAATGAAGAAAAAAATAGCATAAAAAATCTCATTAACCATTTCCAAGTTTGAGAGGCCACGTATGTTACGGTATACCAACGTCATCCATGGGCCGGTGATAATCTTCCCAATGATGCCTAGAGCTTGAAATTGCACTATGACTTCTTCTTGATTGATCCCAATCCATAATGACTTTGTTATTTCGTTTCTATTGTTGCTATGAAAAGGTTTTTAAAATTTTTAAATAATTTATTGAGTCAACTAAAAAAAATTAACATAAATACTTTCTAAAGAATGTTATTTTAGGAAAGTACAAAAAAAAGACCTGTCTATCTTGTGATCTTCTTTGACATTTTCGAATTTGTGATCGGCTAATTCGAAGACTTTTTATTGTTGTTGCATTGGATGAAACCGCCTGTGAATTCATGTCTTTTTCTCTATGGTACTTTGACTTCCAGTGATCTACAGAATCCAGTCTTCTTTTGGCCAAGTGCTGTAATCTCCATTTGGTTCTCTGAAAACTAGAAAGTTTATCTATTCTTTGTTTTAATCTAAAAATTGTTTGTTTATAATTTTTAATTCTTAAATTTTTAGCAATACAACTTTTACAAATGTGTTTGATTTGCGGAACTTTCCTTTTTGGCAGTTGGGCACTCGTGGTTGATCGGATCTCGCAGACTTGGGCATCTGTTGAACTGCATGAAGGAGCTTCTGGGTTCAGATTGGTTGGCTGACCACAATGCACTGGCTGTTTCTCTGAGTCACCAATGGGCTGAAAGTAGAAGGGTTCTTCAAGATATTGAACAACCTGATCCCATGTTCTACCTAGATTAAGTTTAAAAGTGGTTAATTGTTTATGAATTAATTTAATTCTTGTTTTTACATTCCAGATCTTTGCACTGAACACAATGTTGAAGCTTTCCAGCTCTTCCATAATTTTAACCCATACAGGAATTTTCTTCAGTTGTTTTTGTATAAGAAAATAAACAAAACCGTTCAGTAGGGGTGCTGAAGGTCTTGAATACTTTTCATTTACAAAATCCCTCAAAGCTTGAGTTTGCATAATGATTTTGAAAAGATTTGCAAATCGAATAGAAATATCTGTAAAACAATAAATTCATTTTATTATGCATCATTTATTTTTAATGCAGGACAAATAATTATAAAACAATATATCACACTTCTTAAATATAATTATAATTAATATCAAGCAGGAAACTTAATAGTTAAAACACAGACAACCAATTTTCAATGCATTTTTGTTTGACCGTGTGGACTTGTGGAGTCATGGAAAAAAATTAAAAAATAATTTGTGTTCTAATTTTAAAAATATTTTTACAGAATGTTAATAAGTGGTTATTTATTGCATTTCTTTAAAATTGTTGTCATTGCTTGTGAAACTTAGCAGCTACGATTGATGAAAAAACTACCAATACAACATAACGCACTTTGATTTTCGTGACCGCGTGGTGCATACGGAAAAAAATCAAAAAAATATTCTGCTTCTACTCTAATTTCAAAAATATTTTTACAGAATGTTAATAAATGGTTAATGATCATATTTCTTTAAAATTGTCGTTTTCATCCATGAAACTTAGTAGTTATGAACATTCTGATGAAAAAACAGGACCAATACAATGCATTTTCGTGACCGCGTGGTGCATACGGAAAAAAATCAAAAAAATATTCTGCTTCTACTCTAATTTCAAAAATATTTTTACCTAATGTTAATAAATGGTTAATTATCATATTTCTTTAAAATTGTCACTTTTACTCATGTTTTACTAAGTTTTTAAAAAAATATAAAATACACCAACCTCGTAGCGAATAGTCTGCTGCAAATATGACTCACAACAACAAAGAAAAAATATTTTTATAATAATACATATTTCTATTATCGCTCATAACAACCGAAAATTATATAGATGGGCGCATTTTCGAAAAATAAACAAAAATAACGACGACGAAAACGCGAGTTTGCGATAGTAATGTTAAATCACTTTCAGGAAAACGCGGTGAAGTTGAGCGCGCGCGCTATCGCATTTTTTAACGTTGTGCGACCTGCTAATATATTAAATTAAATAAATATATTAAACAACTTATTAATCAATTTTATAAAATAAACACTTTTGTAATTTGTTCAATTCAAGTTTCAAACTCCCCAAGCTAACTTGCAATTTAATTAAAATTTATTAATTATGAGTGATTCAAACTAAATTTTTTTTCATTTAATCATTTAATGTTTTACAAAATATTCTTCATTCTTAAATTGTAGTACATGTTGTTATTAAATTTATTAAAGATAATGTGTGATTCCAGTGATTCATCAATCCATGACTTGTTAGATCATGATCATTCAATTTTAAAGAATCCCCATCACCATAACCAATGAGGTTTGTAAAAATTGTACTTTTAATTTATTATATTTTATGCACTTAGAATGTTGTGTTATTAATTATTAATACCTCGGGAAACCGGGTCTCTGGACGCAAAACAAAGATTGATTGATTGATTAATTATTATCATTAATTTATTAAATGCTGTGCATACCTATGGCAAGTAAATAAAATAATTAAGCACAGAAATAGCCACAATCAAATTAATTTATATAGGCATGAATATAATTTGGATAATAATAATTAAAAATATCGGTATCATTGAAAATGGATAAAGTCAAATAAAAAAATAAATCATAAATTGCTAAAAATAATAGTTCCAGTAAGATTTTGCCTTACACCTACATCTTTTTTTCATTCTTATATTATAATAAATGTTTGTTATCAAATATATCAAGGATTGATTTCTCAATCCATGACTAGATTGAATGTCATGATCCTACAGTTCCAGAGGATCCTCATCACCATTAGTCAATAAGGTTTGTAGAAATCACCCCAGGCATACCATCAATGTTTTGTAGCCACCTTTTAATGTAGTGTTAATAAAATGACATTGAGAATAGTTATTTGAAACAATCTTATTAAAATTATTGAACAGGTATGACAAGATTACTTTCTTAATGTCCTAGTGTGAGGAAGATGTAAGCCATTTGTCCAAAGATAATCATATGCCTTATGCCCATACAAATGCAGTGTCAACGCGAATGATTTTTGATCAGAGTCATATGTTCTAATTTTTTTAAACTTTTCCAGAAATTTTTCTGTTAATTTATTTTTTACATTAAATACTTGATGTGTATTTCATATAAAAACTTGATTATGCCAATTTAGTTAACTTGTTAAGCATTAATATAAAATTGACTATACTTGTAATGGTGATTGGTATGATGATGATGATCCCAGTCCTAAGCAGGGTTTATTATTCACAATGTTATTATGCCCTTTCTAAGTTTAATAAAATACATGGAATATTGATGAATGCATTTTATATTTTTTGTATAGATAAGAATGTTGCAATGTACAATGATGATGTGAATTGCTTCCTTGTGTAACTGATGACATATAAATATAACTAACTTGAAAACATGGGAATGCTTTCTTCAGCGTTACCTTCCTTTCTCCATCATAACCCTTATAATCTTTATTACAGAAATGGTCACTGCATGTTTTTGCATTTTTGATGGAAGCCATTTGAAATGATTTATTTCCTGTCTGATGCACTTAATCCAATCGTTTTGCATTTTTACATTTTGAGGAAATCTGAAATTTTATAAACTGTTACAGAAACTTGTGCATTTCTTAAGTATTGCTTTTAATAATAAAATAGTAATCCATGATAGCATTATAAATTATAATAGTCTATAAAATAAAATATATGTAATTGTAAAACAAAATAGTTCTTTTCAATGAGTATAGGGATATTGTTACATTTATTTTAGTGTGAAGTTAATTTGAAAATAAACCTGTGAAAAGATGCATCAGAAATTTTCTCATTTCTATTTATTATTAATGCAATTTTTAATGCAACAGGTAGGCATGTTTGTGTATAGCTACGAAAATGAAAATTTACTTGAAAACTAAATTATTGTATCTGACACGAAAATTAGTACAGAAACAAAAACGAAAGAATAAATGACAATATAAAAATTTAAACATTGATTGAAAGAGTTTATTCTAATTATATGGTATGGGCAATTCGTTGCGAAATCGTTGGAGGAAATGTTGTCAACAGTAGTTATTTTACTGCTTGGTAGTTAATCAGCCGGTATAAAGGTTATATTCAATTCCTATCAAATAAATTTGACAAAATATCATACACAGGCAGAATTAAATAAAGAAATAGATAGACATATGAACGTAGTTATAATACATTTATAATGTTGTATTTACACATTCAAATTGTACAATTGTGTTATAGTGTAGTCTCAAATTATTTTGAATTCTCTCAGAAAATTTTAAACGTTTTACTACACTATATATACTAGTTATTTTTATCAACAATTTAAAAATTTCATCAATAATTAAAAAAAAATTTCAAACTGATTTCATTGCGATATCGATAATGATTTTTGTGACCTGACTGATTAAAAAGCATCAAAGAAAGTTAAAATAGGATGGAGAATTTGCTATATTGAGATATTCGTTTAAAAAGCGAGCAAAATTTTAATATTAAAGCGCTTATAAATCCATGCATATTGGCTAAGCTTGGCTTGGCTCGGCTTGGAATCGGATGTTAAGCAAGGTGTAGTCTTAAACTATTTTGAATTCTCCCCGAAAAATATGAACTGCGTGCGTACATATATAGCAATGATTACTGTTGTTTTTATAATGAATTTATAAAATATATAAATATAGCGAGCAAAATATTAACATAAAAGCGCTTATAAATCTGTGCATATTGGCTCAGCTTGGCTTGGCTCGGCTTGGAATAGGATGTTAAGCAAAGTGTGGTCTCAAACTATTTTGAATTCTCCCCGAAAAATTTGAACTGCGTGCTTACATATATAGCACTGATTACTGTTGCTTTTATAATGAATTTTTATTATATATATATAAAGTGACTGGAATCCATGTATACAAATAATTAAATTATATTAGATTATATGTTTATATGAAAAGCAATATAGCAGATTCAACCAGCCAACCAGAAAGTTTCGAAGGCGTTCGTTCGATGACTTCAATTTAGTACGGTTAGCATTGTGGTTAAGACTGTATAATAGTGCAGTATATACATTAAACAAGTTTTTTACTGATGCGAATGTTTGAAATGATGGGAATGTATGGTTGAAACGAGTATAAATAGAAGAGCTGAGACAACATGAAAATCAGATCAGCATTCTGCCTCGCTTGAAGCAGTCTGTCTGATCTCATTTATTTTATTTTTATAATTTTTTTATTTTTATTTATTTTATTATATAGAGTTATATAGTGTTATATAGAGTTATATAGAGTTTGCATGTTTGTAGGTGGTTTGAATGTTTGTAGGTGGTATTTTTTAAATTTTAGGTGGGTTCTTTAACGGTTGCTCATACATACATACATACATCATGTTTGTTTGTGTGGTAGTATTTTATGTTCTGTTTTACTCCTTT